TGTTGTGTGGGTCCATGGTGGGGGTCATGTGTTGTGGGGGGTCCATGTTGGGGTCATGTGTTGTGGGGGTCCATGTTGGGGGTCAAGTGTTGTGGGGGTCCATGTTGTGGTCATGTGTTGGGGTCCATGTTGGGGTCATGTGTTGGGGGGTTCATGTTGTGGTCGTGTGTTGGGGGTGTCCATGTTGGGGTCATCTGTTGGGGGTCCATGTTGGGGTCATGTGTTGGGGGTCCATGTTGTGGTCATGTGTTGGGGTCCATGTTGGGGTCATGTGTTGGGGTCCATGTTGGGGTCATGTGTTGGGGTCCATGTTGGGGCAGGGGACCAGGGCAGGGGGACCAGGACTGGGGGACCAGGGCAGGGGGACCCGGGCGGGGGACCAGGGCAGGGGGACCAGGGCAGGGGACCAGGGCAGGGGACCAGGACTGGGGGACCAGGGCAGGGGGGACCAGGGCAGGGGGGGCCAGGGCAGGGGGGACCAGGGCAGGGGACCAGGGCAGGGGGGACCAGGGCAGGGGACCAGGGCAGGGGGACCAGGGCAGGGAACCAGGGCAGGGGACCAGGACTGGGGGACCAGGGCAGGGACGACCAGGGCAGGGGGGACCAGGGCAGGGGACCAGGGCAGGGGGGACCAGGGCAGGGGACCAGGGCAGGGGGACCAGGGCAGGGGGGACCAGGGCAGGGGACCAGGGCAGGGGGACCAGGGCAGGGGGACCAGGGCAGGGGGGGACCAGGGCTGGGGACCAGGGCAGGGGGGACCAGGGCAGGGGACCAGGACTGGGGGACCAGAGCAGGGGGGACCAGGGCAGGGGGTGACCAGGGCAGGGGACCAGGGCAGGGGGACCAGGGCAGGGAACCAGGGCAGGGGGGACCAGGGCAGGGGGGGACCAGGGCAGGGGACCAGGGCAGGGGGACCAGGGCAGGGGACCAGGGGGACCAGGGCAGGGGACCAGGGCAGGGGGACCAGGGCAGGGGGGACCAGGGCAGGGGACCAGGGCAGGGGGACCAGGGCAGGGGGGACCAGGGCAGGGGACAAGGGGGACCAGTAAGAGGGTGTGCATCTTCCGGAGTTTGAGTGAGAGCGGTGCAGTCGTGGAGGTGAATTGTAAACATTGATTATTAAGGCTGATCTGTCCTCCTGCCTCAGACCACTCACACCTCTCATATGCCACTCTCATGCCACCCTCACCCCACTCTCATGCCACTCTCACCCCACTCTCACCCCACTCTCATGCCACTCTCATGCCACCCTCACCCCACTCTCACCCCACTCTCACACCACTCATGCCACTCTCACTCCACTCTCACCCCACTCTCATGCCACTCTCATGCCACTCTCACCCCACTCTCATGCCACTCTCACCCCACTCTCATGCCACCCTCACCCCACTCTCATGCCACTCTCACCCCACTCTCACCCCACTCATGCCACTCTCACACCACTCATGCCACTCTCACCCCACTCATGCCACTCTCACACCACTCTCATGCCAACCTCACCCCACTCTCACACCACTCATGCCACTCTCACCCCACTCTCATGCCACTCTCACACCACTCTCATGCCACTCTCACCCCACTCTCATGCCACCCTCACACCACTCTCATGCCACTCTCACCCCACTCTCACCCCACTCTCACCCCACTCTCATGCGACTCTCACACCACTCATGCCACTCTCACACCACTCATGCCACTCTCACACCACTCATGCCACTCTCACACCACTCTCATGCCAACCTCACCCCACTCTCACACCACTCTCATGCCACTCTCACCCCACTCTCATGCCACTCTCACACCACTCATGCCACTCTCACACCACTCATGCCACTCACACCACTCATGCCACTCTCACACCACTCATGCCACTCTCACACCACTCATGCCAACCTCACCCCACTCTCACACCACTCATGCCACTCTCACCCCACTCTCCTGCCACTCTCACCCCACTCTCATGCCACTCTCACCCCACTCTTATGCCACTCTCACCCCACTCTTACACCACTCATGCCACTCTCACACCACTCATGCCACTCATGCTACTCTCTCCCCACTCATGGCACTCTCACACCACTCATGCCACTCTTACACCACTCATGCCACTCATGCCACCCTCTCCCCACTCATGCCACTCTTGCCACTCTCACACCACTCATGCCACTCTTACACCACTCATGCCACTCTCACCCCACTCATGCTACTCTCACATCACTCATGCCACTCTCACCCCACTCTCATGCCACTCTCACACCACTCATGCCACTCTCACACCACTCATGCCACTCTCACACCACTCATGTCACTCTTACACCACTCATGCCACTCTCACCCCACTCTCATGCCACTCTCACACCACTCATGCCACTCTCACACCACTCATGCCACTCTCACACCACTCATGCCACTCTCACACCACTCATGCCACTCTCACACCACTCTCATGCCACTCTCACACCACTCATGCCACTCTTACACCACTCATGCCACTCTCACACCACTCATGCCACTCTCACACCACTCATGCCACTCTCACACCACTCATGCCACTCTCACACCACTCATGCCACTCTCACACCACTCATGCCACTCTCACACCACTCATGCCACTCTCACACCACTCATGCCACTCTCACACCACTCATGCCACTCTCACACCACTCATGCCACTCTCACACCACTCATGCCACTCTCACACCACTCATGCCACTCTCACACCACTCATGCCACTCTCACACCACTCATGCCACTCTCACACCACTCATGCCACTCTCACACCAGACTGGCCACACTCACATATGGGGACAAGAAGGGAAGACGGGTTGGAGGAATGATGAGGGCTTCAGAGGGGTGAGTGAGGGAGGGGAGGGAGGGGGAGGGAAGGGGGGAGGGAGCGGGGAGGGAGAGAGGGAAGGAGGGAGGGAAGGGAGGGAGGGAGGGAGGGAGGGGGGGAGGGAGGGAGGAGGGAGGGAAGGGAGGGAGGGCCCTACATAGGAAGAAACTTATCCAGGAAAATAACAACATTGCCCGTCAGCTCTCCCACCCATTTGTCGGCAGACACCTGCATCGACAGCAGGTGTGTCAGCAGACACCTGCCACTTCAACAGGTGTGTCAGCAGACACCTGCCACTTCAACAGGTGTGTCAGCAGACACCTGCCACTTCAACAGGTGTGTCAGCAGACACCTGCCACTTCAACAGGTGTGTCAGCAGACACCTGCCACTTCAACAGGTGTGTCAGCAGACACCTGCCACTTCAACAGGTGTGTCAGCAGACACCTGCCACTTCAACAGGTGTGTCAGCAGACACCTGCCTCTTCAACAGGTGTGTCAGCAGACACCTGCCACTTCAACAGGTGTGTCAGCAGACACCTGCCACTTCAACAGGTGTGTCAGCAGACACCTGCCACTTCAACAGGTGTGTCAGCAGACACCTGCCACTTCAACAGGTGTGTCAGCAGACACCTGCCACTTCAACAGGTGTGTCAGCAGACACCTGCCACTTCAACAGGTGTGTCAGCAGACACCTGCCTCAGCAAGAGACAGGTGAGTACATTAACAAAACTATCGTAGCGCAGAAAACAGTTTGGTGTAATTGTACAAATTTATTTACCGACGCCCAGTACTTTTAAGCCACGTGTTTTTGTTATTGTTGTGTGCTTATTACTTGTTCTCCCGCCTGTATTTGTAATGCACTTGCTCTTGCTTGTACGATTTACTATGTAATGCTTGTGTTTTTGTGTGTAATTATATACCTATATGTAGTTACAGCATGAGAGTTACGCTCGTGGTGTCCCGTCTTCCCATTACTCTTTGTCCTATAACGACAATGTGTGTGTGTGTGTGTGTGTGTGTGTGTGTGTGTGTGTGTGTGTAATGTAATGACTCCCAATCTATTTTTATATCATATCTAAATATAAAATTATGTATGGAGTTTTGCTTCACAATCTGTTCCTTTAGCTCATTCCGTTTTGCAGCTACTGCTACGAGGACTGAAAACTGTGTAACATCTCCTTGACTCACAAGACTCAGGCTTCCATCCTTGCTCTCTTGTTCCATTGGTATTTATTATGAGCATCTTTTTCCAACCCCCGTCCTCTGACCACATCCATTACTGTGAGCAACCACACAATATATCTCTCTCACTCTGTAAAGTTCAGTATTTTGTGTGTGTGTATCATGTCTCTCTCTCTCTCTCTCTCTCTCTCTCTTGCGACGATAGTTCCAGGTCTTTCAGCTTTATTCATACACTATTCCTAGTAATTCAGGGACGAGCTTCGTTGCAAATCTCGTTTCTGATGTGTCTGTTGAGATGGAGGCTCGACGGTGGTGCTGCATACTCTACAATTGGTCTCACGTAGGCACTGAAAAGCAATGTAAGCGTATGCTGGTGCTGTTATGCTGTTACTATGTGCCTGCGGAGTTCTTCCCTCTACGTCCTGCTAACAACTAGCTCTTCGTCTTTGTGTTTCCGTCCTTTTACTCTCCTCTTTCCTCTTTTCCACTCTCCTCACCTTACACTTGCTGCCGTTGAAATCCAGTAGCCATTTCTCGGACCAAGTCTGTAGGAACAACCGTAAATTATTCTTTGAGTTGTTTACAATGCTCATCTGTCTTCACTCTTCTTATTAATTGTGCATCATAAACGTCTGCAAACATCGGCATATGATTCAATTCCTATATGTTAGGTAAACTATGTAAATGAACTAGTTATCGGTCTTTGAGGCACTCCGCTTGCTACCCGATTGTGTGGGTGTTGTGTGGATTGTGTGTGTGTGTGTGTGTGTGTGTGTGTGTGTGTGTGTGTGTGTGTGTGTGTGTGTGTGTGTGTGTGTGTGTGTGTGTGTGTGTGTGTGTGCGCAATATTAACTGACATGTTGTTGTAACATAGAGAAGTAGGTTGAGAGTAGTAGTGATTAACACTTGGTGCTTTCCCTCCCTCTCTCACCCCTCACCCTGCCCCCCCTCGCCCTGCCCCTCACCCCTGCCCCTCACTAGCGCTGACGGCAACTTCGAGGTGACGTTGTCGACGAAGGCCACTCTGCACATGAACGGCCTGGTGGAGTGGAAGCCGCCAGCCATCTACAAGTCCTCGTGCGAGATTGACGTAGAGTACTTCCCTTTTGACGAGCAGACGTGTGTCATGAAGTTTGGCTCCTGGACCTACGACGGCTTCCAGGTGAGTGTAGCAGGGTGTAGTAGGGTGTAGAGTGGGTGTAGTAGGGTGTAGAGGGGGTGTAGCAGGGTGTAGAGGGGGGTGTAGCTAGGTGCAACAAAGTTTAGCAGGGTGTTGAAGGGTGTAGATTAGTGTAGAAGAGTTGAGTTCCTGGGAGGGGGATGTTTGGGTCCTCCTGGTGACCCCCCACCTGGGGCCTGTGACCCCTGACCCCCGACCTGGGGCCCTGTGACCCCTGACCCCCGACCTGGGGCCCTGTGACCCCTGACCCCCGACCTGGGGCCCTGTGACCCCTGACCCCCGACCTGGGGCCCTGTGACCCCTGACCCCCGACCTGGTGACCGTGACCAATTAACTATAGAGGTCAACGTGTAGCCAGCCAGGAGTTACCGGCTTCGCCCTCAGTGATATGGAGTCGCTCAAGCACATGTCAATGGAGTTGTGTTTACGTTTGTCAGTTTGACCTCCGCCTCGTCAATTCCACATCACCAATTACCTCGTTTCCCGCCGCGTGTTGTTGTTGGCTAGGAGGTCGACTCGCTGGTCGACTCCCTGGTCGACTCCCTGGTCGATTTCCCTGCTCGACTCCCAGGATTGTTCGTGTTGGGTCATTTCCGTTGTTCTGGGCTGTGATCTGAATCGTATCCCTTATGTCTCATGTGTTCGGTCGTGTTCCTCTCATGGCTCATGTGTTCGGTCGTGTTCCTCTCATGACTCATGTGTTCGGTCGTGTTCCTCTCATGACTCATGTGTTCGGTCGTGTTCCTCTCATGGCTCATGTGTTCGGTCGTGTTCCTCTCATGACTCATGTGTTCGGTCGTGTTCCTCTCATGACTCATGTGTTCGGTCGTGTTCCTCTCAAGGCTCATGTGTTCGGTCGTGTTCTTCTTATGGCTCATGTGTTCGGTCGTGTTCCTCTCATGGCTCATGTGTTCGGTCGTGTTCCTCTCATGACTCATGTGTTCGGTCGTGTTCCTCTCATGGTTCATGTGTTCGGTCGTGTTCTTCTTATGGCTCATGTGTTCGGTCGTGTTCCTCTCATGGCTCATGTGTTCGGTCGTGTTCTTCTTATGGCTCATGTGTTCGGTCGTGTTCCTCTCATGGCTCATGTGTTCGGTCGTGTTCCTCTCATGGCTCATGTGTTCGGTCGTGTTCCTCTCATGGCTCATGTGTTCGGTCGTGTTCCTCTCATGACTCATGTGTTCGGTCGTGTTCCTCTCATGGCTCATGTGTTCGGTCGTGTTCCTCTCATGGCTCATGTGTTCGGTCGTGTTCCTCTCATGGCTCATGTGTTCGGTCGTGTTCCTCTCATGGCTCATGTGTTCGGTCGTGTTCCTCTCATGGCTCATGTGTTCGGTCGTGTTCCTCTCATGGCTCATGTGTTCGGTCGTGTTCCTCTCATGGCTCATGTGTTCGGTCGTGTTCCTCTCATGGCTCATGTGTTCGGTCGTGTTCCTCTCATGGCTCATGTGTTCGGTCGTGTTCCTCTCATGGCTCATGTGTTCGGTCGTGTTCCTCTCATGGCTCATGTGTTCGGTCGTGTTATTATAACGGTTAACTTTCGTTCTCTTTCAAATTAATTAACAATCACTGCAGGTGTTTCGTCAGCTGCTGGGGGGGGGGGGGGACTGGTCCATGGGTGAGTGGGGTGCGGGGGTGTAAGGGTGCGGGGGTGAAGGGGTAGTGTAGGAAGGGTGAACAAGGCTGGTGGGTGTAGTGTGGAGTGTAGCCAGGATACAGGAGCCACCAGCAGGGACACCGCTTAAGATATATAATGTCTTAGTGGTCTAAACAGCCACGGGGAAGGTACAGGTTCTGTTGGGTAGCAGGCAGTTGTCTTGGGATCCTTCCCTTTCAAAGCTACCCTAATCCAGTAGCCTAACCCTACCCTAATCCAGTAGCCTAACCCTACCGTAATCCAGTAGCCTAACGCTACCCTAATCCAGTAGCCTAACCCTACCGTAATCCAGTAGCCTAACGCTACCCTAATCCAGTAGCCTAACCCTACCCTAATCCAGTAGCCTAACGCTACCCTAATCCAGTAGCCTAACCCTACCCTAATCCAGTAGCCTAACGCTACCCTAATCCAGTAGCCTAACGCTACCCTAATCCAGTAGCCTAACGCTACCCTAATCCAGTAGCCTAACGCTACCCTAATCCAGTAGCCTAACCCTACCCTAATCCAGTAGCCTAACGCTACCCTAATCCAGTAGCCTAACGCTACCCTAATCCAGTAGCCTAACGCCACCCTAATCCAGTAGCCTAACCCTACCCTAATCCAGTAGCCTAACCCTACCCTAATCCAGTAGCCTAACGCTACCCTAATCCAGTAGCCTAACCCTACCCTAATCCAGTAGCCTAACCCTACCCTAATCCAGTAGCCTAACCCTACCCTAATCCAGTAGCCTAACCCTACCCTAATCCAGTAGCCTAACCCTACCCTAATCCAGTAGCCTAACCCTACCCTAATCCAGTAGCCTAACCCTACCCTAATCCAGTAGCCTAACCCTACCCTAATCCAGTAGCCTAACGCTACCCTAATCCAGTAGCCTAACCCTACCCTAATCCAGTAGCCTAACCCTACCCTAATCCAGTAGCCTAACCCTACCCTAATCCAGTAGCCTAACCCTACCCTAATCCAGTCTAACATAACTAAATCAGTAATTCATGTTCTTAATTTATTAATATTGTTGACAAAGAAGGAATTTGAAAATATATATATTTGAAAACGAAAGTAGTTCTCCCTGTTAAGCAAATAGAGTTTTGCTTACTAGGCCAAGATGTGCGATTCTGGCTCTTAGACGTGATGTATATATTGCCTTCACTTGGGCGCTAGGAGACTTGAACCTCCGGCCCCATGGGCTTGAGGCAGATGATCTTCCACTCTGCTATCACACGCACACAACATAAACATTTCAGAGCCAACAATTTATACGATATATATATATATATATATATATATATATATATATATATATATATATATATATATATATATATATATATATATATATATATATATACTTATTCATGATGCATCATGATGCAATAAGTATATATATATATATATATATATATACTTATTCATGAATGGTCCTGGGGACCATTCAGGCTTGTTCGCATTTGTGTTCCTCACGTGTGCCCCAAAGAATGAGGTGATTTGATAAAATGCTATGCCCAAGATTACCATCCGAGTGCCGGCGGGGAAGTGGTTCATATAGCCTCGGCTATCACTTCCTTATTGTCCGGTCGTGATGGTCAAGCGGATTAAGGCGTCCCTGTACATACCAGTTGTGGGAGTATGGGTTCGAGTCACTTCTGGGGTGTGAGTTTTCAGTTGTATATAGTCCTGGGGACCATTCAGGCTTGTTTGCATTTGTGTTCCTCACGTGTGCCCCAAAGAATGAGGTGATTTGATAAAATGCTATGCCCAAGATTACCATATATATATATATATATATATATATATCCTGCAGACACCAATTTGTGTCTGCAGGATCGAGCATTGACTCTTGGATCCCGCCTTTCGAGCATCGGTTGTTTACAGCAATGACTACGGTCCTATTTCCCTATCATACCTAATGTGTGTGTATAATATCTTGTTAGATATGGAAGTTTTTGTCATTTTATTATTTAATAAAGATATTTTTCATTATATTAATAAAGTTGTTGGTATTTTGTGTGAGAAAGTGCCGGGGGAGAGTACGGGGCGTCGCTGTTGACGTGTAGTGTGGTGGGCCACCAGGGGCTGGTGCGGTGGGCGCCTCCCTCAGTCTTCACCAGCTCCTGCCTCATGGACCTCCGCTTCTTCCCCTTCGACCTGCAGACCTGCACGCTCAAGTTTGGCTCCTGGTCCCACAGTGGATATCAGGCAGGACACTCGCGCCCTGCTGGTTGTAGCTTGGCTCTAGTTGGCGCCCCTGGTGCTGTATATGGCTGTAGTTGGTGCCCCTGGTGCTGTATATGGCTGTCGTTGGTGCCCCTGGTGCTGTATATGGCTGTAGTTGGTGCTCTGGTGCTGTAGCTTGGCTCTAGTTGGTGCTCTGGTGCTGTATATGGCTGTAGTTGGTGCCCCTGGTGCTGTATATGGCTGTAGTTGGTGCCCCTGGTGCTGTAGCTTGGCTCTAGTTGGTGCTCTGGTGCTGTATATGGCTGTAGTTGGTGCCCCTGGTGCTGTATATGGCTGTAGTTGGTGCTCTGGTGCTGTATATGGCTGTAGTTGGTGCCCCTGGTGCTGTATATGGCTGTAGTTGGTGCCCCTGGTGCTGCATATGGCTGTAGTTGGTGCCCCTGGTGCTGTATATGGCTGTAGTTGGTGCCCCTGGTGCTGTATATGGCTGTAGTTGGTGCCCCTGGTGCTGTATATGGCTGTAGTTGGTGCCCCTGGTGCTGTATATGGCTGTAGTTGGTGCCCCTGGTGCTGTATATGGCTGTAGATGGCGTCCTGAGAGCGCTATATTGGGGTATTGATGTGGGTGTAGATACTCACTCTCATTCTCTCGCCCCTCCCTCTCTCCCTCCCTCCCCCTCCCTCTCCCCCTCCCTCTCCCCCTCCCTCCTTCTCTCTCTTATTCTCTTGAGAAGTTAATTGAAGGCAACACCTGACTCCAGCAGGTCAAGTGCATCTTCCTATATTGCTTTCTTCGCACTCCGCTGTCTTCCGAACCCCCCCCCCCTCCCCCCTCTCCTCTGTCTTTCTGCTTCTCACTTTGTTTTCAGTTTTACAGAGGTGGGTGCCAGAGGACCTCTGACTCCTCTGGCCAGGCTCAGAGCTTTCCCTTACACAGTTGGCATGGTAAGCCCCACCGCAGGTGTTCCCTTGAACATGACTCCGCCAATCGGTTTACAACCAGCTCGGGGATCAGTGAGGAGTAGAGGTGCCAGAGGCACAATCAGAGGTGCACGGCTGTTCAGTACGAACCCAGCAAACATTACAAATATTGCTGGAACAAATGTGGATGTTTTATATTGGCATTTAGACAGGTTATTGCAAGGAGTGCCGGACCAACCGGGTTGTAGTGAATATGTGGGCCTGCGCGCCGCTCCAAGCAACAGCCTGGTGGGTCAAGTTATCACAAGTCGGGCCTGGCCTCCGACCGGGCTCAGGGAGTAGGACAGCTCCTGGAACCCTCTCCAGGTATTCTCCAGATATGCTCCAGGTATACTGCTTGGCGTACAAAAAGTGGACAGTTAAGGATTCGTGCCCAGTCAATCTTCCTTAGATTGACGCCGGGTGAGTGTGTTGTGTGGCTGTATGTACCTAGATTTATCTTTGTTTGTTCTCACCTAATTGTGCTTGCGGGGGTTGAGCTCTGGCTCTTTGGTCCCGCCTCTCACCCGTCAATCAACTGGTGTACAGGTTCCTGAGCCTACTGGGCTCTATCATATCTACATTTGAAACTGTGTATGGAGTCAGCCTCCACCACATCACTGCCTAATGCATTCCATCTACTAACTACTCTGACACTGAAAAAAGTTCTTTCTAATGTCTCTGTGGCTCATGTGGGTACTCAGCTTCCACCTGTGTCCCCTTGTTCGTGTACCACCCGTGACGAACATCTCCTCTTAAGCCCCACCTTAAGACTATCACAAGTTCAATGCAGTGACTCACTTTCCTCGTTTTGTCATCATATTTATATTTAAAGTTGTGTATTGAATTGGCTTGGGCAACTTCCTATTGTAGTCCGCTCCACTTATTCACCACTCAGAGACTGGGAAAGTTATTATAACAACTCTGTGACCACACGTGTTAACAGTACACAATTATGTCCCCTCGTTCATCAGTTCGTCACTTTGACTATTGCTTATACATCTAATTTGTCAATTCTCATTAGTATGTTGTACGTCCTTACTATGTCTACTCTGTTCCTTCCTTCCTTCAGCGTAGTGAGGTCTAGTTCCATCAGTCTTTCTTCACAGCTGAGTCTCCTTAGCTCAGGAACTAGCCTTGTTGCATATTGTTGGACCTTTCTTGTTTTGTGTGTGTTTAAGTATGGGGTTCCACTCGTGGGGCAGCATACACAATAATGGGTCTCACGAAGGTTGTGTACAGTGCGCCGGACTCCTTTGTCCAAGTTCCTCAAGTTTACCCGCACGTTTGTCAGCATGACGTGTGCTGCTGAAGTTATTTTACTGATGTGTGCCTCTCGTGTTAGATTTGTAGTTATGTCAAAAGTAGAAAGTTTCTTTGTCTTCAGTCTCTTGTTTATCTGAGGCCTTATCACTCCTAATTCTACACTCATAACCTTGCACTTGTCAGGAATAAAATCCAGCAGCCGTTTCACAGATCCTCTCCAAAGGTTATCTTCTTCATCTTGCAGTGTACTGCAGTCCTTAGTTATCATCCTTCTCATTAGTTTAACATCGTGAGCAAATATTGCTATGAATGAGTTTATTTCTTGGGTTAGGTCCTGTATGTATATTAGGAACAGGCTGGGCCCTAGTAGCGACCCTTGAGGTACTCCACTCATTACCGCTCTCCTTCCTCATACCTCGCCTCTTACTCTCTGGCGCCTTCATGAAAGGTTCCTCCGCCTAACTTGGTACTTGTACCAGTCCACAACCTGTTAAACTAGTTTCAACAGGAGTCGCTTCGAGGAACAGTGTCAAAAGCTTTCTGCCAATCCATAAAAATGCAGTCTACCCCAGCTCTCATCTTATACAAAAACCAATTAGTTACTCAAGCAAGATTTTCCTTTGCTGAAATCATATTGGTGTTTGAAAACGAAATCCGTGTTTTAGTTGTTCTATAAACTTTCTAATCAGTGAACAAATCCACAAGGGCCATCTGGGATGCTCTCGGACGCAGGTTCGAATCCTCGTCACGGCCTTTGTGGATTTGTTCATTTGATGCATCACGCAATTGTGATTTGTGTGTTCCTAATCAGTCTTTCCCTTCCAGGAAATACCTGTTAGTGATATCGGTGTGTAGTTGAGTGGCTCCGGTCTTCCTTACTTCTTATATACAAGCACAACTTTAGCCACACTACTTGTCTGCTGCTGCTGCTGCTCTCTGCCTTCCTCTCTGCTCACTTCTCCCTTGTAATTACCTTGTGGTTCTCCTCTGGTCTGTGCTGCCTCTAATTGGTCCATGCACTTGTGCGTGTGTTAGCCTCCAGACCAGGTCTGCTCAACCATTCTCTCTTGGCTTCTTTATCTCTGAGAAGGCGAGGCAACTATCACGGTAAAGTGCCAAGCCATTACCACTATATAGCACTGGAAAGGTATCAGGATAAAGATTTTGGGATGGGACGGGTGGGACGGGGGGGGGGGGGGAAGGAATGGTGTCCAACCACTTGGACGATCGGGAATTGAACTCCGATCTGTATGAAGTGAGACCGTCCTTCTACCGTCCAGCTCAAGTAGTCGGAGGTGGTATAAATCTCCATTTAGCTTCCTTGTGTTTGCTAGTATGAAGTGCACCGTACCTTATGTGTTTCTCTCCTGTGTTGTATTTACCATACATATATATATATATATATATATATATATATATATATATATATATATATATATATATATATATATATATATAGACAACACCTATATATATATATAGGTGTTGTCTAAGACTTCTACCATCTTCTCTTACTCGCCTCTATGGAAACCCGGTCGTCTGCTCTTTTTATTCTTTCAACAGCCTTCATAACAACTATATAATCAAAGACCTATCAATACAATGGGCAGAGCTTCTTTCATCTGATGACCCTGTTCACCTAGCAGTAAATAGGTACCTGCGAGCTAGATGGGTGCTTCGGGCTGCTTCCTGGGAACGACTGTGTCAGTGTGAGTATGTTAGTGTGAAAGACATGTAGCAGACATAATAGAGGAAAAAATAGATGGTTAGAAAGTCGCTAATAGCGAATCCTTGGGCACATAGTAATGTCTATGTGTCCTCATGTCTGAGGACACATAGTAAATACACATTGGTTACTTGCCCCTATAGGCATATTATGGTGTAAGACGAGGTCCAGCCACGCTGGTTGGTCTCTCCGTCTCCCCCATGTTGCCTTAATCACATGTTTCCTAGGGACGTGTCCTGCTAGTTCCACCACCTTTGCTTTCCTTGTCACCTTTCCCTCCCAGATCCATTGAGTCCCAGTTAATTTATCCATGACTGAAGTAGCCGTTTACTATCAGCTCCACTCTTAATCTAAGGGATATATTTTAGCCACACTTCGGATATTTAGGCGAGTTCTGTATTCTTATTCTTGTCTGTCTTTTCTGTAGTTGTCAGAGAGATTGTAAGTCACGGCTACAACCACTTTCTCTCCCGCGGCAATAATTCCTTCAGCGTACTCACCATAGGTAGTTTCTTCTTCTTAACTCCTGATCTTTTGGGAACTACTACCTGCCCTGACCACCAGTCCGCATCCCTTCCCCTCTCTCTCTCTCTCTCCGTTTTTCCTGTTCCTCTCTCGTAGTGTCCGGGGAATGTCGATTTAGTGATCATTTAAGTTAGTTTAGTCTCTACTAGTGCTGTTGCATCGTGGTTACTGTCACCAGTACCTTCTCTGAGCTCACCTGTTTTATTTGGCATTCCATCAGCATTAGTATACCGGAGGTTAGTGTAGTTCATTGTTAATATTCACTACAAGGGCAGCTCCTGGTGTAAAGTGTGGTACTGAGTGTAGGTGTAGGAGGTAGAACAAGGGTAGGAGTAGAGCTTGGAAGTGGAGGGCAGTGAAGTAGTGGTGGTTAGTGAAGGTGAAGGGAGGGGGAACGTGCTGCAGAGAGTGGGTCATGTAGCAATGTGTATCAGTGTGTACATGTTCGTGTGTGAGTACATATTTGTGTGTGTGTATGTTTGTGTGTGTACATGTTTGTGTGTGTGTACATGTTCGTGTGTGTGTACATATTCGTATGTTTGTGTGTGCAGTATAAAGACCGCAAAAGTACCAGACAATATTCGAGTAATTCCAGCAGCTTTCACGAGTTAAAATTACGGTAATAATATAATAGACAATAATCTCCTGCTAATTAGTTGTTACAATCATCACTTACACACAATAAATCGCAGGATTATGTGTCCCCGATTGTGTGATTAGTTACATCCGTGGCCCAGGCCGCCGAGCTGTGTCTTACTGAGCACGTCGCCACCTTCACTCATGGCTTACCTCCTCCGGCTTACCCATCCTCGCCCACCTCTTACCTCTCCCCATTTGTACTTTACACGATTTACCTATTTGTCCCATATCACTTTCGACACGTTCACTTGTTCCGTTATATTTGTGCCAGTACTGCCTCATTGTGGCTTCACTCCGCATACTCTCAAGTTCTAGACCAAACTTAACCCATTTACTTTATTAAACTTAATCCATTTATGCAAAGCTAACCCATTTTCTCTTATGCAAAGCTAACCCATTTTCTTTTATGCAAAGCTAACCCATTTTCTTTTATGCAAAGCTAACCCATTTTCTTTTATGCAAAGCTAACCCATTTTCTTTTATGCAAAGCTAACCCATTTTCTCTTATGCAAAGCTAACCCATTTTCATTGATGGTAATTTGTGGCGTTGTGGTGGCGTGACGGACGTGGGGTGGGCGGCCAGGTGGACCTGCGACACGTGGACGAGAAGGAGGGCACCAACATCGTCGACATGGGCGTCGACCTCTCAGAGTTCTATATGTCGGTGGAGTGGGACATCTTGGAGGTGCCGGCTGTCAGGTCAGTGTCGGCGTCTGCCCGCTTCCACCCCCATTGTTACCACCTTCCAGTCATCAGGCTAATCACTAGCCTGCCACGGTACAACAACTCTCGAAATCATCCACAGGTAATCCAGTATTCTAGTTTACAATTCACTGTTTAGTCTTGTTGCAGCACCAGCGAGAGATGTTGTTAAGGGCGGGATTGGTGGAGGGTTGTGGTTGTGTGTGGACCAGTGTGGTGTGTGACACAGCCCAGACGTGGCCACCACCACCGCCTTGTGAACACCAGCAAGATTCACCAAGTAGTTACGCAAGCACTTACGAACCTGGGGCCAGATTCACCAAGCAGTTAGGCAAGCACTTACGAACCTGGGGCCAGATTCACCAAGTACTTACGCAAGCACTTACGAACCTGGGCCAGATTCACCAAGCAGTTAGGCAAGCACTTACGAACCTGGGGCCAGATTCACCAAGTACTTACGGAAGCACTTACGAACCTGGGGCCAGATTCACCAAGCAGTTAGGCAAGCACTTACGAACCTGGGGCCAGATTCACCAAGTACTTACGCAAGCACTTACGAACCTGGGGCCAGATTCACCAAGCAGTTACGCAAGCACTTACGAACCTGGGGCCAGATTCACCAAGCAGTTAGGCAAGCACTTACGAACCTGGGGCCAGATTCACCAAGTACTTACGCAAGCACTTACGAACCTGGGGCCAGATTCACCAAGCAGTTACGCAAGCACTTACGAACCTGGGGCCAGATTCACGAAGCAGTTACGCAAGCACTTACGAACCTGTACATCTTTGCTCAATCCTAGGCGGCTTTGTTTACAATTATTAAACAGTTAATGAGCTTCGAATCACAAGGAGGCTGTTTATAACAATAACAACAGTTGATTGGGAAGTTTTCATGCTTGTAAACTGTTTAATAAATGTAACTAAAACCGTCAAAGATTGAGGAAAGATGTACACGTTCGTGAGTGCTTGCGTAACTCCTTCGTGAGTCTGGCCCCAGGTCTGGCCTCACTAGTCACACCTTTAAGGACAATGTCGAGTTTCTCTGCTCATTATCTTGGCGCCAAACTTGGCTCCGATCTTAGGCAAGCTTCATGTCGCTTTAGTTTGGAGTCATTTCCTGTAGACATTACTAAACTTTGGTGAATTTAATTCTTTCCTTCTCGTGGTCAGAATTGATTTTGGGAGGCGCCTGGACTCAAAATATTGCGCAAGTAAGTTGTACAAACTTTTCTTCAATTTATTTCCTTTGTGTTCAAGTCACATTGGAAGAAACGTGTATAATAGTTTAAACAATTATAATATTAATAATAATTTGTATGTTAACAAATATATATATATATGTTTATATGCAACCCATCCTCCTGTTTAGACAGTGCTTATTGTGACTATTCGTAAGTCACGAATTCGTACTTACTTAGCTTTTAGATAGTAGTATACTGACTAGTAAGGAATTCCTTTAAAATAAATGAATATAAAAAACACACTTAAATATTCCCAGGACTAGTATAGCACACATATGTACTATATTAGGCCTCAGATATTGTGTATTAGGCGGAGGGAGGTTAGGGTAGGGTAGGGGGGGGTGGAGCAGTGAGAGGGGCGTCACCTACGACAACACCCACCTGGCGTCCCACCACACCCAAACTACCGTTAAGGGTTTCTTTGGTGTAAGGTACATGAGGACGTTATGGAAGTACACTTTCCACAAGACTGGCCCGGGGTACACTGACCCGGGGTACACTGGCCCGGGGTACACTGGCCCGGGGTACACTGGCCCGGGGTACACTGGCCCGGGGTACACTGGCCCGGGGTACACTGACCCGGGGTACACTGGCCCGGGGTACACTGGCCCGGGGTACACTGACCCGGGGTACACTGGCCCGGGGTACACTGACCCGGGGTACACTGACCCGGGGTACACTGACCCGGGGTACACTGGCCCGGGGTACACTGACCCGGGGTACACTGACCCGGGGTACACTGGCCCGGGGTACACTGACCCGGGGTACACTGACCCGGGGTACACTGACCCGGGGTACACTGACCCGGGGTACACTGACCCGGGGTACACTGACCCGGGGTACACTGACCCGGGGTACACTGGCCCGGGGTACACTGACCCGGGGTACACTGGCCCGGGGTACACTGACCCGGGGTACACTGACCCGGGGTACACTGACCCGGGTACACTGACCCGGGGTACACTGACCCGGGGTACACTGACCCGGGGTACACTGACCCGGGGTACACTGACCCGGGGTACACTGGCCCGGGGTACACTGGCCCGGGGTACACTGGCCCGGGGTACACTGGCCCGGGGTACACTGACCCGGGGTACACTGACCCGGGGTACACTGACCCGGGGTACACAGGAGGACTGGGTGTCCAGCACAAGGTGGAGGGGTGACTGGATGGTGGCCTGGGGGGAGGGAGGGAGGGGGGCTCCTAGGTGTACACACTCACACAGTCTGGTCCCCCAGGGTGTACTGGAGGAGGGTCTGGGGTTGACTGGTGGGGGTTGGGAGGTGGTGGTGGAGGGGGGGGGGGTGCCAGGTGTCAATAAGTAAAGGTTACACGACACGGCTCGTGTAGGTGTTGGGGTCACACGCCCGACCACCTCCACCACCACCCACACACTCACCCCTACACCCTCATCCCTACACCCTCACCCCTACACCCTCACCCCTACACCCTCACCCCTACACTCTCACCCCTACACTCTCACCCCTACACCCTCACCCCTACACCCTCACCCCTACACCCTCACCCCTACACTCTCACCCCTACACCCTCACCCCTACACCCTCACCCCTACACCCTCACCCCTACACCCTCACCCCTACACCCTCACCCCTACACCCTGTCAGAGCAGTTAACAGATGGAATGCATTAGAGAGTAATGTGGTGGAGGCTGACTCCATACACAGTGTCAAGTGTAGATATGATAGAGCCCAGTAGGCTCAGGAACCTGTACACCCGTTGATTGACAGTTGAGAACCACCACTACACCACAGCAGTCCCCAGGGTGAAGTGGTAAGACACTCGCCTGGCGTTTCGCGAGCGCTTAGTCCTGGGTTCGTATCCTGGCCGGGGAGGATTTTCTGGCCATCAATCCCTAACTGTAGCCTCTGTTCACCCAGCAGTAAAATGGGTACCTGTGGTTAAACGATTTGGCGGGTCGTATTCCAGGGAACATAGGATTAAAGACCTGCCCGAAATATTATATATATATATATTATATATATATATATATATATATATATATATATATATATATATATATATATATATATATATATATTATATATAACCAAAAAAAGAGAAGCAGGACCAAATAGTCAAAACTCAACCCCGCAAGCATAACTAGGTGAGCACAGAACAGGTCACCTACAGGGACCAGGCCACCTACAGACACCAGGTCACCTGCAGGGACCAGGCCACCTACAGGGACCAGGCCACCTACAGGGACCAGGCCACCTACAGGGACCAGGCCACCTACAGGGACCAGGCCACCTACAGGGACCAGGCCACCTACAGGGACCAGGCCACCTACAGGGACCAGGCCACCTACAGGGACCAGGCCACCTACAAGGACCAGGCCACCTACAAGGACCAGGCCACCTACAGGGACCAGGCCACCTACAAGGACCAGGCCACCTACAAGGACCAGGCCACCTACAGACACCAGGTCACCTGCAGGGACCAGGCCACCTACAGGGACCAGGTCACCTACAGGGACCAGGCCACCTACAAGGACCAGGCCACCTACAGACACCAGGTCACCTGCAGGGACCAGGCCACCTACAGGGACCAGGTCACCTACAGGGACCAGGCCACCTACAAGGACCAGGCCACCTACAGACACCAGGTCACCTGCAGGGACCAGGCCACCTACAGGGACCAGGTCACCTGCAGGGACCAGGCCACCTACAAGGACCAGGCCACCTACAGACACCAGGTCACCTGCAGGGACCAGGCCACCTACAGGGACCAGGCCACCTACAGGGACCAGGTCACCTGCAAGGACCAGGCCACCTACAGGGACCAGGCCACCTACAGGGACCAGGCCACCTACAGGGACCAGGCCACCTACAGGGACCAGGCCACCTACAGGGACCAGGCCACCTACAGGGACCAGGCCACCTACAGGGAGCAGGCCACCTACAGGGACCAGGCCACCTACAGGGACCAGGCCACCTACAGGGAGCAGGCCACCTACAGGGACCAGGCCACCTACAGGGACCAGGCCACCTACAGGGACCAGGCCACCTACAGGGACCAGGCCACCTACAGGGACTAGGCCACCTGCAGGGACCAGGCCACCTACAGGAACCAGGCCACCTACAGGGACCAGGCCACCTACAGGGACCAGGCCACCTACAGGGAGCAGGCCACCTACAGGGACCAGGCCACCTACAGGGACCAGGCCACCTACAGGGACCAGGCCACCTACAGGGACTAGGCCACCTGCAGGGACCAGGCCACCTACAGGGAGCAGGCCACCTACAGGGATCAGGCCACCTACAGGGACCAGGCCACCTACAGGGATCAGGCCACCTACAGGGACCAGGCCACCTACAGGGATCAGGCCACCTGCAGGGACCAGGCCACCTACAGGGAGCAGGCCACCTACAACGACCAGACCACCTACAGGGACCAGACCACCTACAGGGACCAGGCCACCTACAGGGAGCAGGCCACCTACAACGACCAGACCACCTACAGGGACCAGGCCACCTACAGGGACCAGGCCACCTACAGGGACCAGGCCACCTACAGGGACCAGGCCACCTACAGGGACCAGGTCACCTACACAAACACTCAGACAGTGTAGTAAGGACAGGATAAAGGTCTTAAGTGTGTAAAATAAAGCAGGATGGCTCGGTACGACAAGTTCCGCCGCCCCGCTGGCAACACCGTCGTCATTAGCAAGGGGCCACCTAAGAGGCAGCAAGGTGATGCCAGACGTAGAAAATTGGTTTTCCAAATTTGAGTGTAGAAGTTGTGAGAGGTTTGCTCCCCCCCCCCCACCCCCCGGCAGGCAGTCATCTCTCTCTCCCCCTTGACACCCTTGACAGGCCCCCAGGACCCCGCCCCGGCCTACCCCGCCAGCACGGCCTATCTCGCCACCATCAAGGCCCCCCCCCCTCCAGCCTCACAGACAATACTGGCTGCCATTCTCCTGTGAACCTCTCCTGCCTCTGCTATCTTCCTCGCCCTCTACCTCCTCCTCTCTTCTCTCTTCCAGGCTCCTTTACCTCCTCCTCCTCCTCTCTTCTCTCTCCCTCTCTCCAACCATCACTCTTCGTCTCCTCTACCTCTCTTCTCTTCCCCACAACTACAAGCGCGCGCACACACACGCACGCACACAGTTGATGGACAGTTGAGAGACGGGACCAAAGAGCTAGAGCTCAACCCCCGCAAGCACAATTAGGTGAATACATTCACCAGGGGTTAGGTAGCTAAGTGGACAGCGCGGGGGAATCGTAATCTTGTGGCCCGGATTCGATTCCCGGCGCCGGCAGAGACATATGGGTAGAGTTTCGTTCACCCTGATGCTCCTGTTACCTAGCAGTAAATAGGTACCTGGGAGTTAGACAGCTGTTACGGAGCTGCTTCCTGAGTGTGTGTGTGTGAGAGAGAAAGGGAAAAAGAATAGTAGTTAGTAACAGTTAATTTATTGAGAGTTGAGAGGCGGACCGAAAGAGGCAGAGCTCAACCCCCGCAAGCAGCACTAGGTGAATACAACTAGGTGAATACAGAGGCAGGTCGGAGAGGAAGATAATATCTGGTGAAGGAGCAGGTAGAAGTGATCACAACACACCTGTGGTGGGATACCATCACCGGGGCTCGTAAGGTCGCTACGCCACCCATGCTGCACCCCACACCCCACACGTGTGCTGCACCCCACACCCCACACGTGTGCTGCACCCCACACCATCCCTACACCACACCCTGGGGAGTGTTGTCACAGGTGGGCCCCTATAACCATGACCATGTTAACACTTATCTCATCCAGGAGTGTATAACCTGCCTCCCGTGACCACGTGCCTCCCCCCCCAGACACGAGAAGTTCTACACGTGCTGCGACGAGCCGTACCTGGACATTACCTTCAACATCACCATGCGGAGGAAGACGCTCTTCTACACGGTGAACCTCATCATCCCCTGCATGGGCATCTCCTTCCTCACAGTCCTCACCTTCTACCTCCCGTCCGACTCCGGCGAGAAGGTCAGTGTCCTCACACCACATCATTACCCACTGGACTTGCTCTGAGGACGGGTTGCGTCCTCAGAGCAAGTCCATTCCATCCAGCGGTCGACCCCAATGACCCATTCATCAATTTTAACATGCTGTTCATTCGAAATAGTAATTTTCTCAAATATAAATTAATATTGTTATTTATTAGCATATTGTGCATATTTAGACATAGGTTAGGTTAGGTTAGGTTAGGTTAGGTTAGGTTACGTGTTTAGCTTCTGTTGGCGATTATTTATATTTGTAGTACGTGGGTGAAGCATTTACAGCGTTGTGGTTCCGACAATACTTGTCAGCGAAGCACTGTTCGAGAAATGTTCGGGGCGTCATCAGTTGAGTCGTGTGTAAGCCGTTTTACATTCATAAAGAAGGGGGGGTTTGGCGGGTGCATGGAATGGACTTTGGTCTTTGTTTAAGAGAACGGACTGGTTGTGTTACGAACACAAGTTGTCAGTGGGGGAAATATTTGTCATATTATTGGCCAAATATTTCCCCAAATCAAATTAACATATTTAATTCGATTTATGTAATAATTTCGAATTTAAAAGAGCCAAGTTTTAATTGAATAAGTATTGACACTGAGATTGTTGAGAGAGTGTGGGAAGGGTGTCCACCACTATCCACCGGCCTCGTAGCCTGGTGGATAGCGCGCAGGACTCGTAATTCTGTGGCGCGGGTTCGATTCCCGCACGAGGCAGAAACAAATGGGCAAAGTTTCTTTCACCCTGAATGCCCCTGTTACCTAGCAGTAAAATAGGTACCTGGGAGTTAGTCAGCTGTCACGGGCTGCTTCCTGGGGGTGGAGGCCTGGTCGAGGACCGGGCCGCGGGGACACTAAAGCCCCGAAATCATCTCAAGATAACCTCAAGGTGGACCAGGCCATAACTAACTCCACCCACAACACTGGCGATCCTGAGACAGACAGACAGACAGCGTCCTGTACACATCATTGAAGGACGTAGTCGCTCATTGAAATATTGAGGAGTTAGGTGACTATACCATGAGGTGTGTGGCGAGCCAGAGCCAGACGTTAATGGTGTTGTTGGCAGTAGTGAGAGTAGCGAGGCCTGATACAGCCAGCTGGGGCCACACAACACCTCCTCCCACATATCACGCCTCTCTCAAAACACATGTAAGCATACAATAATTTAGTTTTAACCAATTTACACATTACAGCAAGTGTATTTACATAACGTGTAAATTTATCACATTAATTATATATTCGCGGGCAGGAGTGGTGGAGACGGGCCCAGGTGTAGCCATGAACGTCTTACTACACCTTAACAAGTCATCTTACCAGCTGAGAAAGCTATTTTACTAATTAACATGGTATAGTATATTAATTACAATCTATCAATTATAACTGATATTCTTCTTGTGGTCGCATAGATCAGCACTTGCATGTTGTAAACTGTGATCTGTGTTTGTCTACAGTACAAACAATTTTAACATTGAGTTCAGAGCCCTAAATCTACTTATAATTCCCACACTTTACCAGATAAACTGCAAGATCTGAATTTATTAACTAAGAGGATAATATGCCCCCCACTGTAGGAATTGTGTGGAGAGTTACATGTTATACAGGGCACTAGAATATAATAACAATAACCAATGTACAGTCCACTTGCATTTGAATTGTAATAAATAATTAAATAATTAAATTATCCACTTAACCCCACAGTCGGCGAAGCACTGTTCGAGAAATGTTCGAACGTCATCAGTTGTCGTGTGTAAACTTTGTGTTCATAAACCTGGTATTTGGCGGGTGGAGTTATGAACATGTGGCCTTTGTTGATGAGGACGAGCTGCACAAGGGGCGACCTGCAACTGTAGGTAAAGTAGGTGTCGAGGAGTAGGTAGAGTAGGTGAGCAGGAGTAGGTAGAGTAGGTGTGGTAGAGTAACTGTGCAAGAGTGTGACGAGGTGTGTTCCAACAGGTGACGCTGAGCATCTCCATCTTGATCTCCCTCCACGTGTTCTTCCTCCTGGTGGTGGAGATCATCCCCCCCACCTCCCTCGTCGTGCCCCTGCTCGGCAAGTACCTCATCTTCGCCATGATCCTCGTCTCCATCAGGTGAGCACCCCCCTCCCACCGTCTTACCGTGTTCCCTCTCCCATCAGGTGAGCACCCCATCCCACCCCTTCCCGTGTCCCCCCTCCCATCAGGTGAGCACCCCCTCCCTCCCACCCCCTCCCACCGTCTTTCCTCTCCCATCAGGTGAGCACCCCCTCCTTTAACCCCCCTCCCATCATGGGAGCACCCCCCTTCCTTAACCCCTCCCCCCCCCCCCTGCCATCAGGTGAGATCCCCCGTCCATCAACTTACCAATATTGACAAAGAAATGAGTGACATGTTCAACAAGTAGTTGGTGCGTGCACTGGAGAAGAAGTTGACACGATGCCTGCAGCCGAACACATCCTGTAGGATGTGTTCGGACTGTGAGGACGAGAGCATTGTGGTTCCCAGAGAGAAGCGTATTAAACAAAGAGGAAACATTAAGACCTAACAAGTCCCCAGGGGGGCCAAGACAAGTCTTTACGCGGGTGTTTTAAACAATGTCAAGAAGAGCCGAGTGAGTCCTTCTCTGGCATATTTAATTTCCTTAGTTGAGCAGAGTACAGTAAGCACGGAGGGTTGCCATCTTGCCCTGGTCTTAAGAAGGAAGATGGCGGTCACTTTGGATTAACTGTCGTCCAATTTGATTGTTAATTGCAGGAAAAGTTGATTGAAATGTTTCTTGAAGTGTTTGTCTTGAAAACATGTATTAACGACCCAAGAGTCGGACTGTAGCAGTCCCCAGGAGCCGGACTGTAGCATCACCAGGGACCCAAGAGCCGGACTGCAGCATCACCAGGGACCCAAGAGCCGGACTGCAGCATCACCAGGGACCCAAGAGCCGGACTGTAGCATCACCAGGGACCCAAGAGCCGGACTGTAGCATCACCAGGGACCCAAGAGCCGGACTGTAGCATCACCAGGGACCCAAGAGCCGGACTGCAGCATCACCAGGGACCCAAGAGCCGGACTGCAGCATCACCAGGGACCCAAGAGCCGGACTGCAGCATCACCAGGGACCCAAGAGCCGGACTGTAGCATCACCAGGGACCCAAGAGCCGGACTGCAGCATCACCAGGGACCCAAGAGCCGGACTGCAGCATCACCAGGGACCCAAGAGCCGGACTGCAGCATCACCAGGGACCCAAGAGCCGGACTGTAGCATCACCAGGGACCCAAGAGCCGGACTGCAGCATCACCAGGGACCCAAGAGCCGGACTGCAGCATCACCAGGGACCCAAGAGCCGGACTGCAGCATCACCAGGGACCCAAGAGCCGGACTGCAGCATCACCAGGGACCCAAGAGCCGGACTGTAGCATCACCAGGGACCCAAGAGCCGGACTGCAGCATCACCAGGGACCCAAGAGCCGGACTGTAGCATCACCAGGGACCCAAGAGCCGGACTGCAGCATCACCAGGGACCCAAGAGCCGGACTGCAGCATCACCAGGGACCCAAGAGCCGGACTGCAGCATCACCAGGGACCCAAGAGCCGGACTGCAGCATCACCAGGGACCCAAGAGCCGGACATACACCAGCAGTGTCCCCAACGCATGAGGGGTGTAGCGGGGGTGAGGGGAGGGAGACAGGAGCACCAACAGAGGACCCAGGGACACAAGGGACCTCGGGGCAGCAATACGCCTGGTGCCATCATTAGTTTACCGTGAGAGTGAACTAGTAAACTAGAGAGTGTAGACTGTACGCAGCCTTAATTACTGGCAAGTTACGTCGCAAGTCTCCAGAACCCATTCTCTACTTGACTGAATGTTTGGGGAGGTGATGCAGAGCTGAAGCTCAACTCCCGGCTAGGTGAGTACACCCACACAGTTCTCTCCTCCCTGCCTATCCTCGGAGGCTGCCACTTTGGAAGGGGAAAAGTGTGTTGCATTACCGTGATGGGCGTTACTTCCGGGTTACAGGCTGTCATGGGGGAGGGTGTGGCTGTGTAATGGCCCCATAAAATACCATTATCCTCCTTAAGGCCGTCCTCCTTCTTTATAAAGTACCGTACAACACTCCAACACAACCCCTTTGTGGCCCTGCTGGGGACCGCCCCCACCAGCACCCCGGCCTCTCCTGCCTCTCCTCTAACCTCACCACCACCATCACCTCCAGCACCACCACCACCTCCAGCACCACCACCACCACCACCAGCACCAGGCCTCACCCTTCCCGCCTTACTGGTGACGTCGTCAACGATGTCTGGTGCTGATGCCCTTCTCTCCTCCTCCTTAGTGACGTCATCACACACACCTTTTTCCATTGTGTGTTGTTTACCTTGCTAGTAACGTCGCTAGTTACGCTTGATGTTGCTTGATTGTTTCCGCCTGTTTAGTGACGTCATAACCGACACTGTTGGATAACTGATTTGGCCTTACTGGTGACGTCACAAGCGACACGGGTTGCTGATTGGTTGTTCCGTTTACGATAGTCACACCTCTCTTGTTAAGCTACTAGTAACCCCACACACACGTGGAGTGACAGTGACAACCTTCGCGGAGTGACAGTGACGACCTTCGTGGAGTGACAGTGACGACCTTCGTGGAGTGACAGTGACGACCTTCGTGGAGTGACAGTGACGACCTTCGCGGAGTGACAGTGACGACCTTCGTGGAGTGACAGTGACGACCTTCGCGGAGTGACAGTGACGACCTTCGTGGAGTGACAGTGACGACCTTCGCGGAGTGACAGTGACGACCTTCGTGGAGTGACAGTGACGACCTTCGTGGAGTGACAGTGACGACCTTCGTGGAGTGACAGTGACGACCTTCGTGGAGTGACAGTGACGACCTTCGTGGAGTGACAGTGACGACCTTCGTGGAGTGACAGTGACGACCTTCGTGGAGTGACAGTGACAACCTTCGTGGAGTGACAGTGACGACCTTCGTGGAGTGACAGTGACGACCTTCGTGGAGTGACAGTGACGACCTTCGTGGAGTGACAGTGACGACCTTCGTGGAGTGACAGTGACAACCTTCGTGGAGTGACAGTGACGACCTTCGTGGAGTGACAGTGACGACCTTCGTGGAGTGACAGTGACGACCTTCGTGGAGTGACAGTGACAACCTTCGTGGAGTGACAGTGACGACCTTCGTGGAGTGACAGTGACGACCTTCGTGGAGTGACAGTGACGACCTTCGTGGAGTGACAGTGACAACCTTCGTGGAGTGACAGTGACGACCTTCGTGGAGTGACAGTGACGACCTTCGTGGAGTGACAGTGACGACCTTCGTGGAGTGACAGTGACAACCTTCGTGGAGTGACAGTGACGACCTTCGTGGAGTGACAGTGACGACCTTCGTGGAGTGACAGTGACGACCTTCGTGGAGTGACAGTGACGACCTTCGTGGAGTGACAGTGACAACCTTCGTGGAGTGACAGTGACGACCTTCGTGGAGTGACAGTGACGACCTTCGTGGAGTGACAGTGACGACCTTCGTGGAGTGACAGTGACGACCTTCGTGGAGTGACAGTGACGACCTTCGTGGAGTGACAGTGACGACCTTCGTGGAGTGACAGTGACGACCTTCGTGGAGTGACAGTGACGACCTTGTCATCCACACAACCAAAATTTCCAGAGTACAGAAGTTTGGAGCAACATTAGTGGCAGAGTTAAGAGAGCCAAGCTTACAACATAGGTTAACGGAACTGGACTTGTTAACCCTAGAGGAGAGAAGAAACACAGCGGACATGACTGCAACATAGAAGATACTGAGGGAGGATTGACCAGGTGGACAACTATATCCTCTTTAAGTTTATAGAAGGTGGACGAGGAGACACAGGTGGAAGTTGGAAACGCAGATGAGTAGAAGAAATGTAAGGAAATGCTCGTACCATCAACAAGTGGAATGTAATGCAAGTAATAGTTATGGAATCCACCTCCATCCACAACTTTAAGGTCAGATACGAAAAAAGAATTTGAACTTCAGGATAATTAAATTATAACGTAACAGGTAGAAGAATGGTAGTGGGCGAGGCATCACTTGTCATTCCTCCGTAGACAGATGGCCGAGTTCGTCGGTGTGTCCTGCACCCTTATCAAGCCACAACTTTATATGGACCCAAGATGGACCGAAACGTTCTCCCTTTCCTTAGGAATAGTCAACCTACCCTTTGTTTTGAAGGCAAAGAAAGAGGTTATTGAACTGTACAAGTGCGTGGTGCGCCCCATCTGGGCCACTGTATCCCAGCACGGAGACCGCACCTTCAAAAGGACACATCTGCTTTAGAGAAAGTTTAACACAGAGCTACAAATATCATCCCAGAACTAAGTCGACTCTAATACCAGGAACGGTTGAGGGCCACACGACTAACAGCACCACAAACCAGGCATGACAGGACTGGTCTCATCGAGACCTTTAAAATACTGAACAAGTTGGAGGATATTAATCCAGACCACTTCTTTAACAGGTGAGATGTAACACAAGCAAGGAGCGACGGCTTCAAGCTGTAGAGACCACAGTGTAGGACAGCAGACACGAGAGGCTTCTGTACCCATATAATGTCTGTTAACTCTTACCCTGTGAGAATGTCTGCTTCTCTGTCCTCCCAAGACTGGAGGCCAGCGCTTGAGCAGAGAAGGTGGAGTGGGAAGATGTAATAGAGGGGAGACAGCCGGGTACCCACTTCACTAGGGCTATAAGCCCAAGGAACCGCCTACCCGTCTGAGCCGTAAATGTCAACCCATTACTTCAGTTCATAATCCACTTGGAAATAAATCCTCAGGAATAATAGGACACCTTTGACAAGCCGCTGGCTTCCTGCCCCCGTCGAGGTCACTAGAGAGACAGTGGCCCCCTCAGGTAAATTCAGCTAATTGTCATATGGGTAGGTTGAGACACTTGTTTCAGGTGATAATTTAGAGGTGACCATTTGTCCTGCTTAACTGTATGGCTGGTCTTCACTACACCCTTCCCTTCCCACCACAATACTCACACACACACACACACACACACACACACACACACACACACACACACACACACACACACACACAGACAGACAGACACAGACAGAGGAACACAAAGGAAGGCTCATTAAAATCATCTCATTAAGGCCAGATTCCTACCATAATTAATTATTTTTACGGTGTATCTTCCCTTTGTAATTCTTAACGAGTTACGTCATCAGCATAGCTGTAAGGCGGTGTCAGTCAGCCAACTATTCTGTCAGTCAGTTAGTCAGTTGGTCAGTTAGTCAGTTAGTCAGCATGTCAGTCAAGAAGTTAACGTCAGTTAATGAGTTCCTCTATCAGCCAGCCAGCCAGCCATTCATTCATTCATTGCTGAATGTTGCGCTCCCTCAGCTCCGGAACGAGTCTCGTTGCATATCTTTGGACCTTTCCTAATTTCTCTGTCTATTTTCAGGCAGGGAGTTCCGTGCTGGGGAAGTATATCCCAGAGTGGGTCTCGCCCTTGCTGTATATAGGGACCGGAAAGCTCCTCTACCCAAGTTTGTGAAGGATACACGGATGTTGGCCAGTATGCCATATGCAGCTGTTGTTATTCTCCTCTGGCTGCTCGCTCGCCATGTTACCATTTATATGTACTTGCATTGCCGCTATGTGGGAGTTGCTCTCGCGTCTCCTGGGGGAGATGGACAGCTTCCTGTCTCTTGTCTCACTCCCTCCTCTTGCTGGTATACTGTCCACTCTCCTTCCTTAATTCCTTTTCTCTCCTCTGCCCTTTCTGTGTTCTTTGCTTGTATTTCCTCCTTGCTCATGTCATTTTTCGAGGACCCTTTTAAATCCACTCTTTGTTCTGATATCTCGTTTTCGGTTCATCAAGATTCTTGGAGCTGCTTCATTCATAAATATCATTTTCAGTGGTCTAGTTTGTCTGTGTTCTCGTGATATAGTATATGGCCCCACCCTGAACATTCGGAACAAATCTCTTTCAGCCTCTCAAAGACGTATCCCTCACCGGAGCTCCATGACTTATTCTCTCTACAGTTACATACGGTCTGCCTTGGTTTCTGCCGCTATCTTTGGCGTTCCCTGAATGATTATCGATCTCTTCCCTTGTATAATTCTCCTAGTCTGCTCTTTCATCTTTCAATTTGCTATTTGGAGAACAGCATCCATCATCTTTTTTCCCCACTACATTGTTGTTATTGACTACTTCCTGCCATTTACAGGGTTCAGGTTTTTCGAGTTTAGCCTCAATGGTTGCTTGCCTCTCCTGGCACAGTACATCATTTGTCTCCTTTGGGTTTTGTTCATCATCTGCCATTTTCTTATTTTTTATTCCCATTTTGCATCTAATTTCTGTATTTTGTTCTCCCAAATTGCTCTCATTTTCTCCATTTCCTCTTGCCAAACGTTTTTAGCATACACGTCCTGTTTCATAAGTCTCTCCTGGCACTGTTTGTTTCCTCAGTTGTCGCCTCTCTGATTGTGAAATTCCGTAGATGTTCTCCAATTCCGGACATTTGCTTTCAAATGCCTCACGTAAATCCTCAATCTGTGTCTTGCAGTCTTCCTTCAAGAACATTATCGCCTGATTCCAGCTTCGGCGAGACTCACTCTGCCTCTTTATTCTTTCCGTCATGTCTTCCCTCTACTTTTTGAATAACAATTCTTGCTTTATCCATTGTCTCGCCTGAGGCTTCCTTCCCTCTTTCCTTCCCATCATACTGTGTCTCTCCCTGATATTCTTTCTCTCCCATTCCATGGTTTAATGCTAATTTAGATATATATATACTATGTAGGTACAGTACATATAGCACATATAGCGATAAAGTTGAGTTGGAGAGTTATGTACACGGGGGAGACGGAGGCAGAGTTGGGGGGAGTGGAGTGGGATACAGAAGTGGTTGGGGAGGGTGGGGAAGGGGTAGAAAGTTGTGGTGGGAAAGGATTGGAAAATAGTGTGCTATGGGGAAGGGCCGTTAACCAGGTGTACAGTATAGGTTGAGAGTGAGGTGTGTGACGGAGCTTGTGTAACGATACTTGTGTAACGATGCTTTTGTGACGGGGGCTTGTGTTTCAGTATATGTGTGACGGTGCTGGTGCTGAACGTTCACTTCCGGTCACCCCAGACGCACAAGATGGCGCCGTGGGTGCGGCGGGTGTTCATCCACATCCTGCCTCGTCTCCTCATCATGAAGCGCCCTCAGTACCAGCTCAACAAGCACAGGTGAGTGTCATCACCACCTCTACCAGTCACTCCCACCACCTCCAGTCACTCCCACCACCTCCAGTCACGCCCACCACCACCAGTCACTCCCACCACCTCCAGTCACGCCCACCACCTCCAGTCACTCACTTCACCACCAGTCATTCATTCCATCACCATCATCAGTCACTCCACCACAACCAGTCATACTCTCCACCACCACCACCAGTCATACACTCCACCACCACCACCACCAGTCATTCACTTCACCACCACCACCACCACCACCAGTCATACACTCCACCACCACCAGTCATTCACTTCACCACCACCACCACCACCACCACCAGTCATTCACTTCACCACCACCACCACCACCACCACCACCACCAGTCATACACTCCACCACCACCAGTCATTCACTTCACCACCACCACCACCACCACCACCAGTCATTCACTTCACCACCACCACCAGTCATTCACTTCACCACCACCACCAGTCATTCACTTCACCACCACCACCACCAGTCACTCTTTACTCGTACGTCTGGCACACCAGTTCCCATGCCAATTTATAAACTAAAACCATGCATTTAGCCAAGCTAAGGTGTGTAATACTCTGAGGTTGGCACATTACTGTTTGAGAAAGCTAATAACATTGTTGATCAAACTATGATAGATGTAAATAGTAGTAGTAGGAAGTATTAATAGATGTGACTAAGTGCGAATGGTGCCGTTGTGGTGGTAGCGGGCTGACGCACTCCTGCGTCACCAGTTGACGCACTCCCGCGTCACCAGTTGACGCACTCCCGCCCCACCAGTTGACGCACTCCCGCCCCACCAGTTGACGCACTCCCTCGTCACCAGTTGACGCACTTTGACAGTCGAGGGCGGGTGTGTCGGGGCGTGTCTGCTACACCAGTATTGATACACGCATCACGCCCCGCTCAAAACCCTCCCTCCGACCTCCAATGAACACAGCAAGAAGTGAAAACTTGGAGCCGTTGGGAGGATGGGAAACAGACAGGCAATTTATTCCCAAACTTTCCAACATACGCGCGCTTATTTCCGCGGGCCGCCAGACAACAGCTGCCGCGTAAACCTCGCCGGGACCTAATTAATTTTGAGTTCCAATGGACCGCGACAAAAATGTATTTGATGTACGTCCGGGAGACAAGAGACTCCAGCAACTATGAAAAAGTTGACAAAATGTTTTGAGGTACAGAAGTTACCGCCTGAGGCCAACTGCCGCCAACTGGCAGGGAATGTCCAGGTTACATGGGAGGACACGGTGGTGTGGCCTGGCCTAGCTACACCACCCATGGCAGGTGGTGTGGCCTGGCCTAGCTACACCACCCATGGCAGGTGGTGTGGCCTGGCCTAGCTACACCACCCATGGCAGGTGGTGTGGCCTGGCCTAGCTACACCACCCATGGCAGGTGGTGTAGCCTGGCCTAGCTACACCACCCATGGCAGGTGGTGTAGCCTGGTCTAGCTACACCACCCATGGCAGGTGGTGTGGCCTGGCCTAGCTACACCACCCATGGCAGGTGGTGTAGCCTGGCCTAGCTACACCCATGGCAGGTAGTGTGACCTGGCCTAGCTACACTCATGGCAGGTAGTGTGGCCTGGCCTAGCTACGCCCATGGCAGGTGGTGTGACCTGGCCTAGCTACACCCATGGCAGGTGGTGTGGCCTGACCTAGCTACACCCATGGCAGGTAGTGTGGCCTGGCCTAGCTACGCCCATGGCAGGTGGTGTGGCCTGGCCTAGCTACACCCATGGCAGGTAGTGTGGCCTGGCCTAGCTACGCCCATGGCAGGTGGTGTGGCCTGGCCTAGCTACACCCATGGCAGGTAGTGTGGCCTGGCCTAGCTACGCCCATGGCAGGTGGTGTGACCTGGCCTAGCTACACCCATGGCAGGTGGTGTGGCCTGGCCTAGCTACGCCCATGGCAGGTGGTGTGGCCTGGCCTAGCTACGCCCATGGCAGGTGGTGTGGCCTGGCCTAGCTACGCCCATGGCAGGTGGTGTGGCCTGGCCTAGCTACGCCCATGGCAGGTGGTGTGGCCTGGCCTAGCTACACCCATGACCTAGCTACACACCTGGAGGGCGCAGGTAGGGCAGGCGTGGTGACGCGGGCGCCACCAGCTCAACCACCACAACTCCCTCTATGGTCGCTGTCCAGCCCGTCCTCGCATACGAAGATCCAAGCTCGTTAATCCAGCCGTCAAACCCCCTGTTTATGAATGAAAAGCGGTTTACACACGACTTACAAACTGATGACGTCCGAACACTTCTGGAATAAGTGCTTCGTTCACGTCCTCTGTTCGAACAGAGGACGAACACCTAACGAACGCGATATTCAGATATATGAACTCCTAACCTACTCCTAACTATACATATAATTTATATATAATAATATTAATTTATATACATGAGAACAAACCAATGTTTAATACACAGTATGATAAAATTGATGAACGCGTCTGGGGAGGACGGCCGCCGCTTTAACCAGCCTAGTAGGTACTCAGGACTTAGTAAGCTTGTTGTGGGGTTGCATCCTGGGAGAGGGGGGGACTCGATATAAGCCTAGCGTATATGAATACACTCTGGCTGCCTGTCCCCCGACACAATTAATTGTTAATTATCATTCCAAAGGAATGGATGATGGTAGTGTAGTTACGTGTCGTTAGGCTTATCGAGATCTCCTCCTAGGTCAACGACTGACCTCCCTCAGGACACATCCCACAACAGTTGACTAGCTCCCAGGTACCTGTGCACTCCTGGGGGGAGGTTACTTACCAGTACCCTCACCTCTCTGGTAATTACTTAATAAATGAACTTGAGACAATAGTTCTGCAATCAAAGTTTAGTTGTATCAACCTGGAGAACTCCAGGCATCTTGTAACTGGCCACCTGATTGATCATCAACCAGTCACCTGATTGATCATCAACCAGTCACCTGATTGATCATCAACCAGTCACCTGATTGATCATCAACCAGTCACCTGATTGATCATCAACCAGTCATCTGATTGATCATCAACCAGTCATCTGATTGATCATCAACCAGTCACCTGATTGATCATCAACCAGTCATCTGATTGATCATCAACCAGTCACCTGATTGATCATCAACCAGTCACCTGATTGATCATCAACGTCGTTACGTAAATTATATGAAATTCCTTTACTTAAAGAGGATTTAAATCTATAGTGTAAAATTACTCATTCATAGAGTAATCATTGCGTGGTTGAATTAACCTTCAAAATTCCCAACCTCATTAGTTTATCAAATGTTAAATATATATATATATATATATATATATATATATATATATATATATATATATATATATATATATATTCTGATATGTTGTTCAAATATCGGGGGGAGTTTTAAGTAAATGTTTTGGTTCGTGAGGATCCGGATTTAGCAGCGTAGATGAGAGCGTGGAGCCCCTGGTCCTCCACAACAATGTAAACAGTGGTCATGTTCCATCACTTTATTTGGCGTGTTACAAGCTTTATTTATATTTAAAGCCTGGCGGGAAAATATAGAAGCTCTACAGCTTTCCCCGTTTTCTTTTATATTAAAAAGTGGGAAAAAGTTCACAATAAATGTTTTCCACGAAATGTTTAGTTTAGAACTGGGATGTATGTTTTTAATGCTATCACATGCAGCAGCCCATCTTTTTCCTAGTCCACAAATACCAAATACTCACTGTACCAATACCCGATGTACCCAGTACCTAGCGTGCAAATACCCAATGTCCCCAATAACCTCCGTACCCAATATCTGCCATGTCTAATACCCAGAGTGCCCAATACCTGACGTACGCAATACTCGTCATGCCCAATACACGACGTATCTAACACCTGCCGTGCCCAATGCCTTGTGTACCCAATACCTGACGTGCCAATATCTGCCGTCGACCCACGATTAGTTGTGGCCTTACAGTATTACTGTATATACTAATGTATTGGTGAATTCAGTACACAAGTTCCCGTGTAATGAAATTGTGTATTGGTACACCTGGCCGTACACTGTGTGTCAACACAGCACCTGGCCGTACACTGTGTGTCAACACAGCACCTGGCCGTACACTGTGTGTCAACACAGCACCTGGCCGTACACTGTGTGTCAACACAGCACCTGGCCGTACACTGTGTGTCAACACAGCACCTGGCCGTACACTGTGTGTCAACACAGCACCTGGCCGTACACTGTGTGTCAACACAGCACCTGGCCGTACACTGTGTGTCAACACAGCACCTGGCCGTACACACAGCGTGTTGATGTATATACATAAGCTATAATACATGAAGCACAATTGGCAAGTCAAGAGAGGCAGGAGTGTGTATGGTGGTGGTGGAGTGTGAGAAGAACACACAGAGTGTAATGCTAGTGTGAGTGTAGCGGGCCCGCACACACACCCCAGGGGTGTTGTGGCCTACTCCCTCCCACACCTACACTCTCATTACGGGTGTAGTATAATACTAAGCGTGACGGAGCTTCCAGTTTGAACACATGGGTGTCACCAGCAACACGTGAGCAAGTACATTCCTCTCATCACGTGCCCATTGATTTCCTGCTTCCCCAGCAGGCCTGGGGCGTGGGGGTGGGGGGGGGGTGGACCACGGACTCATCTCCCTCTCCCTGGCATGACTGTCAAGTCACTAACACTGTCACTGTTAACAGTCACTAACACTGTCACTGTTAACAGTCACTAACACTGTCACTGTTAACAGTCACTAGCACTATGAACCAAGACAATGTTAAAATCAACAGTATAAGGCACGGAGACGGGGCAGTATTGACCAGAGAGCAATAAAGATTGCTGTGTGTGGTCATCTGTTAAAGCTGTGAACTGTGGTTAGAGCCAGTCGCTAGCCTTGGACCAGTCCTTTAATTAATGCGTCAATTTATAGGTTCACAATGTTTAAAACTGCTTCCTGGATTCTATAATGTTTTCCTATGTGCGGTATCAAAGGCACTCTCTTATTTCTTTGTATGTAACATGAGCACATTAACATGTGAACTGTGATGCATGTCTGTGTCTTCTGTATTATTGGGTACAGTCGGCTTGACCTTGACGATTGGTAGTAGGTGACTGGTTGGGGGTCACAACAGGTGTATGTGGGTCACAACAGGTGTGTGTGGGTCACACCAGGTGGGTGTGGGTCACTACAGGTGGGTGTGGGTCACAACAGGTGGGTGTGGGTCACAACAGGTGGGTGTGGGTCAGTACAGGTGGGTGTGGGTCACAACAGGTGGGTGGGGGTCACAAGAGGTGGGTGTGGGTCACAACAGGTGGGTGGGGGTCACAACAGGTGGGTGTGGGTCACACCAGGTGGGTGTGGGTCACTACAGGTGGGTGTGGGTCACACCAGGTGGGTGTGGGTTACTACAGGTGGGTGTGGGTCACAACAGGTGGGTGGGGGTCACAACAGGTGGGTGTGGGTCACAACAGGTGGGTGGGGGTCACAACAGGTGGGTGTGGGTCACAACAGGTGGGTGGGGGTCACAACAGGTGGGTGTGGGTCACAACAGGTGGGTGGGGGTCACAACAGGTGGGTGTGGGTCACAACAGGTGGGTGGGGGTCACAAGAGGTGGGTGTGGGTCACAACAGGTGGGTGGGGGTCACAACAGGTGGGTGTGGGTCACACCAGGTGGGTGTGGGTCACTACAGGTGGGTGTGGGTCACACCAGGTGGGTGTGGGTCACAACAGGTGGGTGGGGGTCACAAGAGGTGGGTGTGGGTCACAACAGGTGGTTGGGGGTCACAAGAGGTGGGTGTGGGTCACAACAGGTGGGTGGGGGTCACAACAGGTGGGTGTGGGTCACAACAGGTGGGTGTGGCCCACAACAGATGGGGGGTCGTTCTCCTGTATCGTATACATCAGAGTTTTACAATAAAAACAGTTATATTTCAATTACAAATCTGTAAAAGAAATGTGGGAAATACTAGTGAGTGAGAGCCTTGTGGCCGTATGCTCAGTAACGGTAAAGGTCAATACAACCTCCACACGCATGATGTATCAGAATGTAAACAAAAAATTGGCTTTCAGATATTGTATTTAAATTGGCAATCCGGAGATGGCAGCTTGTGTTGTTAGGTCAATGTTGAGTGGGGGAGCGGCGGCCATCACTGCTGCTCCACCTGTGGTAAAGCTCTACCCCGCTTCTCTATATATGCTCAGTGTTTACCTTAGTCCTGGCTGGTCAGTAAGCTGTTGTGGTGGCCATGTAACCCTCCACAGATTGTTGGACCTGAAGCCTAACTAAACACAACTCACAATAACTAATTCTTCCCATTCTTTCTCGTCCCACAAGTGATTTCAAAAGGTATGAGGCCATTCTTGTTCACTTGTCACAACATGTTGGAAGTGTGGCCCCTGAGGTAGTGTTATTAAGGTGGTAAACTGTTCACTGGTGTTGGTGTACCAGGTATCCCTCGAGGGGTACCAGTGGCCGCCTTACCTACACCTCTCTATACTAGCCTTCACTAACCAGACCGGGATTAATACCGCCTCAGGGGCCTCGCTCTCCTTTATCTAAAATATATATTTTAACTTTTAAGAAATATTTCTTTGAGTTGCATATAATTATCATTTATTATTATTTGTTAGTTAACATAACACAAACTAATTTAGGATTAAAGAGGATTGTGTGTGTGTGTGTGTGTACTCACCTAATTGTGCTTGCGGGGGTTGAGCTCTGGCTCTTTGGTCCCGCCTCTTAACTGTCAATAAACAGGTGTACAGATTCCTGAGCCTATTGGGCTCAATCATATCTACACTTGAAACTGTGTATGGAGTCAGCCTCCACCACATCACTTCCTAATGCATTCCATTTGTCAACCACTCTAACACTAAAAAAGTTCTTTCTAATATCTCTGTGGCTCATTTGGGCACTCAGTTTCCACCTGTGTCCCCTAGTGCGTGTGCCCCTTGTGTTAAATAACCTGTCTTTATCTACCCTGTCGATCCCTTGAAGTGTGTGTATGCTCGTGTATGTGGGCTTTAGGAGACAGGTTTGGTATGATATCAACTCCTAGATCTTTCTCTCTGTCCGTTTCGTGAAGGACTTCATCTCCTATTCTGTATCCTGTGTCTGGCCTCCTGTTTCCGCAGCCTAGTTTCATGACCTTTCATTTACTTTGCTTGAACTTTGATAACCATATGTTGGACCATTCCTTCAGCTTGTCTAGGTCATCTTGAAGCCTCATACTATCTTCCTCTGTCTTATTCCTCCTCATAATTTTTGCATCATCAGCAAACAATGAGAGGAACGATTCTACACCCCTCTGGGAGATCATTTACATATTTCAGAAACAGTATAGGTCCAAGGACTGACCCCTGCGGGACTCCACTAGTGCCGCCTCGCCACTCCGAGACCTCACTCTTCACAGTGACTCGCTGTCTTCTGTTGCTTAGGTACTCCCTTATCCAGTGGAGTATCTTCCCTTTCACTCTTGCCTGCATCTCCAGCTTGTGCACTAGTCTCTTACATGTTACTGTGGCAAAGGCTTTCTGGCAATCCAGAGAGAGAGAGAGAGAGAGTGTGTGTGTGTGTGTGTGTGTGTGTGTGTGTGTGTGTGTGTGTGTGTGTGTGTGTGTGTGTGTGTGTGTGTGTGTGTGTGTGTGTGTCCAGCGTCACTTAGGGTGTAACACACAATGGCCGCTCATGCTGGGCTGGGTGACGGAGGTCACTATTGCCAGAGGGAGTGGTCACGTTATGAATTCTTAATATATTAAAATCATAGCTTTTTTACCAATACTAAATGTATACTTTTGATTAATTTCTGTTATAATTATAGTTTAAATAATAATTTATTTTTAAATAAATAGCCTCACTCCCTTGAACTTACCCCTTAAGCTAAGTAATTTAGAGTTAAGACTTGTGTATCAGTGTTAAAGGAATCTATATTAGTGGTGTTGGGGTGAGGGAAGGTGGCGGCTCCTGGCGGCGACGTCTGCAACCTGGCTCACAGGTCTTCATATCTTCTCTCCTTTATCCTCTGCCTTATCACACTCAAGATCAATTTATAGTGAGTTATGACAGAACTGATGCAGCAGTAAATTAATGTAAACAATAATATTACAAAGTGTGAAGCAAAGTATTATGCATTCTTGCCGGCGCCTCGCGGCAACGACAATAATTACGATTAAATTCGAGTCTTCTGGCTTAACCAATCACCTGTCAGCAAAGGCCGGCCTGGCCTAGTCAATCAGGTATAAAAAGGCATACCTGCCTTAACCAATCAGGTCTCGGCACGAGCTTGGTTTATTCCACCAATCAGGACTCTGTATTGGCTGGTGGCGGTTCCAGAGGCAACCATCAGAGGTTCAATAGTAAATAAACATTAAAAAATAATATTATTTTAAACTGCAGAATTGACCCAGTTTTATCAATATTTCTGGCCAAACTGTGGGTGATGCCGGAGCCCCGGAGCTAAGACCCACAAGATGTGAACATTGATGACGTAAGGAGCGATCACCTTCACCTTCCCTTAACTCTACATTTTATATATTATTAATCAATTTGTAAATTCAAATAAATACATTTTATAAAGCAAGTTTTGCCAAAATATTTTCCTCGAGTAAATAATATATTTCAAAGATAAAAATAATATTAAAGTAGCTTATAAATTATATGTTAATTGTTTTTTGTGGCATGTATTTGTCTATTAGATGTGTATAGTTCTTCCTACACTCTCCTACACTCTCCTGCACTCTTCTCCACCACTACCACCCCCACCACCACCACCCACCACCACCACCACCACCACCACCACCACCCACCACGACCCCCACCACCACCACCACCACAGCTAACAATAAGAGACAGAGCAGTATAATAATGTTGGACACATTCCCTCTCTAGATTGTGGAGGTGCAACAGCAACAAGCCGGTCAACAGGTAAAGTGCCCGTGTCCCTCTCTCTCTGCCACACCACACACACCTGTATGCTCTAGTTCACCTTCCTTACTGCCAGGCTCCTCCAGCCACCGGACGCTGGCTAGCCCGCTCCTAAGGTCACCTTACAACTTTCTCACGGCCACCTTGGCTATCTCATCCTTAAGCACCTTCCCAGAGGCAGGTCACAAGCCGTTGTTGACTGTCTCAAGGATGAGGAGCGCGGACAGTCCACCACTGGTTGCTTGGTAGCTGCTTACTGCTTCTTAGTGGCCTGCATGGTGAGGTGGGGGAGGTGTACCTACACCCCTGTGGGGGAGTGTGAGGGTGTAGCTGTGGGGGAGTGTGAGGGTGTAGCTGTGGGGGAGTGTGAGGGTGTAGGTGTGGGGGGAGTGTGAGAGTGTGGGGGAGTGTGAGGGTGTAGGTGTGGGGGGAGTGTGAGAGTGTGGGGGAGTGTGAGGGTGTAGGTGTGGGGGAGTGTGAGGGTGTAGGTGTGGGGGAGTGTGAGGGTGTAGGTGTGGGGGGAGTGTGAGAGTGAGGGGGAGTGTGAGGGTGTAGGTGTGGGGGGAGTGTGAGGGTGTAGGTGTGGGGGAGTGTGAGGGTGTAGGTGTGGGGGAGTGTGAGAGTGTAGGTGTGGGGGAGTGTGAGGGTGTAGGTGTGGGGGAGTGTGAGAGTGTAGGTGTGGGGGAGTGTGAGGGTGTAGGTGTGGGGGGAGTGTGCGGGTGTAGGTGTGGGGGGGGGGGGGAGTGGACCTGCCAGGTATAATGTGGTGGTTGAGAGCAAGTGTAGTTCCCCAGGACGACCTCAGCACAGTACACAGTAAGTGACCATTCACATGTTCAACTGTCATAACCTCTGCCTCGCTGCTGCCAATATATTACTTCCATAAACCACACTTTAGAAAATTATGAAACGACAACGTTTTGGTCCAGGACGGACCGAAACGTCGACTTCTCATCCTTTTCTGATGTGTTCTTTGGCCATCATATCTTGAGGTGACACATTGTCTGTATATTACTTGCTCTCCTAGTGAAGTAGACATTACTCCCCGCTCTTGCCAGTCATTGCTTGTCTGTAGTTAACGTCCATGTAGTTATGGTTAATATGCCTTGCCTTTGGTACTTTATTCTCTTTACTAAACATACCTCCATTTTGAGTCCTGTCACCGGAAACGTCGGGGGTGTTGTGGCTGTGTAAGAACGGACCTCTTGATTACCAGTGTGTGTACCTTCACAACCATAGTACCTTGTACCGTGTACCTTCACAACCATAGTACCTTGTACCGTGTACCTTCACAACCATAGTACCTTGTACCGCTGTACCTTCACAACCATGGTACCTTGTACCGTGTACCTTCACAACCATGGTACCTTGTACCGTGTACCTTCACAACCATGGTACCTTGTACCGTGTACCTTCACAACCATGGTACCTTGTACCGTGTACCTTCACAACCATGGTACCTTGTACCGTGTACCTTCACAACCATGGTACCTTGTACCGTGTACCTTCACAACCATGGTACCTTGTACCGTGTACCTTCACAACCATGGTACCTTGTACCGTGTACCTTCACAACCATGGTACCTTGTACCGCTGTACCTTCACAACCATGGTACCTTGTACCGTGTACCTTCACAACCAAAGATGTTCTTTTTGTGTTCTCTTGTATAAACAAAATTGTTGTAATTGTTGTTATTATGAGTCTGGATAGTGTTACTTTATTTGTTAATAATATAGAGCAAGTCTCGCCTCCCTCTCCCTGGTAGAATGATAATTGTGCACTTGAGCGGCATTTACCATGTTTCCTTGACGAGACTAAAGCCGTGATGTGGGGCAGATAACGAGGGTGGCAGCCCTGCTCATGGTCAGTGTGGGGGGCAGATAACGAGGGTGGCAGCCCTGCTCATGGTCAGTGTGGGGGGCAGATAACGAGGGTGGCAGCCCTGCTCATGGTCAGTGTGGGGGCAGATAACGAGGGTGGCAGCCCTGCTCATGGTCAGTGTGGGGGGCAGATAACGAGGGTGGCAGCCCTGCTCATGGTCAGTGTGGGGGGCAGATAACGAGGGTGGCAGCCCTGCTCATGGTCAGTGTGGGGGCAGATAACGGGGGTGGCAGCCCTGCTCATGGTCAGTGTGGGGGCAGATAACGAGGGTGGCAGCCCTGCTCATGGTCAGTGTGGGGGCAGATAACGAGGGTGGCAGCCCTGCTCATGCTACTTGGAGAAGAGGGGGGGATGGCAGCGGGGAGCAACATGCTCCTGGCTGCCATTGACTAAGGGATGCGGGTGTTCGCATCTTGGCCACAATGTTCCACTTAATCACCAAAATATATAATAACATAACGTAATGCACCTTCTTGTATGTAAATAAGTATTCCATTTCCTCAACCTCTGCCTCACTTACCTGATCAATAGGTCTAACTTTTCTCTGCAACTATTTTTTTCTTGTTAGGTTAGGGATGTTCTCGTGAAAATTTTGTCTACTGTGTCCGTAAGTTTAAAGAAATTTTCCCGCCATGACGGTCTTTTGATGCTATTTTCCCGGTAAAATCACCGATTGTCTTAATCTTCGATTTCCTTGCTGCTGTAAGCTCCTTGTAAATGGCCTGGCGATTTAACCTAGGTTGGTCAGTGTCATCCTGGCGCCTGGTGGTGCTTGGTAGCGGGTCCTCTGGTTCCCGCCGCCCTCTGCTTGTGCTGTCTCTTGTACGGGTTTATGAGTCTACTGCGCCTCACTCACACTCTGCCCTCTCCTCCCATTACTCATCTGGACGACTCTTGGCCCTTCACTCATTACTCATCTGGACGACTCTTGGCCCTTCTCTCATTACTCATCTGGACGACTCTTGGCCCTTCTCTCATTACTCATCTGGACGACTCTTGGCCCTTCACTCATTACTCATCTGGACGACTCTTGGCCCTTCACTCATTACTCATCTGGACGACTCTTGGCCCTTCTCTCATTACTCATCTGGACGACTCTTGGCCCTTCTCTCATTACTCATCTGGACGACTCTTGGCCCTTCTCTCATTACTCATCTGGACGACTCTTGGCCCTTCTCTCATTACTCATCTGGACGACTCTTGGCCCTTCACTCATTACTCATCTGGACGACTCTTGGCCCTTCACTCATTACTCATCTGGACGACTCTTGGCCCTTCTCTCATTACTCATCTGGACGACTCTTGGCCCTTCTCTCATTACTCATCTGGACGACTCTTGGCCCTTCACTCATTACTCATCTGGACGACTCTTGGCCCTTCACTCATTACTCATCTGGACGACTCTTGGCCCTTCTCTCATTACTCATCTGGACGACTCTGGCAAGATCACTTTCATTACATGTAATAGAGAGAGAAAACGTGATCATAAAGGAAACTGCAGGAGGCTCGTTGGTCCATATGAGACAGCTCCTATATTTCCACTCGCACACAGTCATATAGTTATGTCTAACCTACACTTGAAACAATTCAGCGATTAACCTAACCATTATGGTACCGGTTTCGTAATTGTTTGTGGCCAAGGTTCTGTCTATTCTTGTAGTTCAACTTCCTTATTTAAAATTCCCCGTGGTGTAGTGGTAAGACACTCTCCTGGCGTTTCGCCAGCGCTTTGTACTGGGTTCGTATCCTGGCCGGGGAGGATTTACTGGGCGCAAATCCTTAGCTGTAGCCTCTGTTTACCCAACGTATAATGGGTACTTGTTTGTTAAACGATTTGGAGGGTTCGTATTCCTGGGAACATAGGATTAAGGACTTGCCTGGAACGCTGTACAAGAATGTAAAATATATTGTATATTTAAAAAAATAAAAAAATGCATGTGCATTAGTATACCTGAGCTTTATACGGTCGTCTATACCAGGCGACTGTGTCTATGGTGTTCATGACGCCATACCTCCAGCCCCTGTTTGAAATAAATGAACGTCTGGTCGATGTGTGTGTGTGCTCCATTATTTGTGCTTGCAGGGCCTAAGAGGCCTGCAAGCCCTAAGAGGCCTGCAAGCCCTAAGAGGCACGCTTAGGGGCCTGCGCTGCCTCTTTTAATATCCACGGTGATACGTTGTCTAGACCAACTAATTTAGTTGTTAGTTGTCACATTACCACCTCCTGCTCTCACTTCTATATCTGATATTCTCCCATGTAGGGCCACCTCCTCTTCTAACAATGGCAGCTCTTTAGGCTCGGTTGTGGACACTATGGGAACTAGCGTTCAGTACCACACAGAATTCCTTATCGCTTTCTGTGTATGCTCCTCCCGTTTTCTGTTGTGTTGTCACTTGGTCTTTAACACTTTCTTTCTTGTATGACTATGTAGTAATTTTGATTATTATTTTACATTGATAGCAATACCATTCTCGTAATTCCGGTATTCTCCTTATATTTATGTATTCATGTCTAGTTCTGTTGCATCTGTTCCTGTTTTACTCTGTTCTTTGACCTCTGTATTTCCTTCACTCCCTGCTTTTTTGGTTTTTTTGCTTCTTGACACTGTTAACCCATGGGCTATAATAGTTTCTCATACAGTTTTCTCTTCGCGTTGGTATGAACACTTCAGCCTCCTTGCATCTACATTTGACTTGCTTCATTATTTCCTGTACTATTTTTCCCTCTCTCTTCCTCCCAGATACTCTCTAAATTTGCTCCCCACATTTCTTCCCCCACCATAGTAATTCCTCGATTCCCAATCGATCTCTACGTGAATTAGGTCCCTCAAGACTAGTAGTTTTCTGCTTATTCTATGAGACTGTGTTGCTGCTCTCTATACAGTTGATCTATACATGCCTTGTTGTTGTTGTTATTGTCATATTCCTGTTTGGGCCTTCTGCTGTTTGATGGGGCATTGTAGATTACCAGGATCACAATACTCTTCCCATCTGATGTCAGAATCCCAATGATGGAGCCTGTGTATCCGTTTGTACTTCGATCTTCGCGCACGTGTGTGTGTGTGTGTGTGTGTGTGTGTGTGTGTGTGTGTGTAGGTGTGTATCTCTGTGGTCTCTCAGCTCTCATACAGTCGGGCTCTCCCACAGTGTGTTCACTGAGCCCAACCGAGTGATGATCAGAACGTGCAATGGCCACGAGATGCAGGAGTCCTTCTACAGATCGCAGTTCGACGACATTATGTACAAACACAACGAAACGCCGCTCCCATACGACACCCCGCTACCTAGAGGCCCCAGGAACGACTTCTCCCCGTAAGTAACACCTCCCCTGTGACACCTGTCAGTAGGACTTTCACAACGACCCCGTAAGTAGCACCTTTCCCCCTGCAACACCCCTACTACCTTGAAGCACCAAGAGCGACCTCTCCTTGTAAGTAGCATCTACTCAAGGACCCATTGTGTTCCCACTATATGTTAATGGCCTACCAGGAGAGATAGTCTTGGGCCAATATTTGTGGAGGTGCAAAGTGAATAATAAAAATACGAGCTGAAGACACCTGCAAGAGTCCACAGTCAAGCTGCCGGGGTGGTTCAGTAAATGTCTGCTAGATTTCAACCCAAGCAAGTGCAAGGTATTGAGGATGGAATCTAGAAAAAACTCGGCTATCCAGCAAAAAAATCTTTGGAGTAAATATGAGAGCCAAACTGTCATGTAGGCCAACATACACCTGACAACACCAGCAGCACATGTAAGGACAGACAAGCGTCGAGACCGTCTACAGGATCTTGATCAAAGTAATGCAATTATCAGGAGAATGCGCTAAGCCTTCACGACTATACAGCACAAAGCTAAAGGCCGCTCTACAACACTTGTGTAAGACTAATACTTGAGTGTGCTGCACCAGCATGGATCCCCAACTTAACCAAGTACAAAGAAACTTGAGAATGTTGAGAAGCTCGCCACCTGTCTCGCCCTCAGAGTTGTCTTTAACAAAGAAAGTCTACAGGATCGGGATCTCTGGACACTTGGAAAGTGCAAGGCAATATGAGACTAAGTCAAGACCTACAAAATACCCCAGTATAGAAAGGGAAAGTGGACAAGGACAGACTTGAAATCAAGTGTCTTGGGGACGTAGATGGAAACTGAACACCCTGATGAGATGTCAATAAGAACCTCGCACTGTGAGCCACTGAATAAGTGGAGTGAGTCGAGCAGACATGGTTGAGGCTACCTCCTCAATACATAAATTCAAAAGAAGATTTAATAAATTAAATTCACAACAATTGACCAAAATTTAAAAAAAGGAGCTGAAGCCATATTCCGTTAAAGTCAGGTTGGTGAGTGGACCTTGATGAATGGACCTTAGTGAGTACTTTCCTCCCTAGAAGCTCCAAGAACGACTTCTCCCCGTGGACAGGCCGTCGTCCCCTGCGACACCGTGTCAAAAGGTAGGAGCCACACCAGACGGAGAGACAAGTGAGCAAGTGTCATTATTGAAGACAGTATAAACACATCCCCCGGACTGATACAAGTCTGCAGGTGTTTTGTCTAATCCACTAAATAAATATTTGCAACTGCCATACAAATATTCAAAAGGGAAAGTGGATGCCCTAAATTACACACGTTATGTAACTAACCTGCATAACGAGTAAGGTATTGGAGGATATTGTCAGGAATTAGTAAGAAAACTGGAACATATGGAGAGGACAGTCTTGGACCATCAACATCGGGTTTGGTGGGAACAAATCATTGCCGACGAGCCTAATATTTATGTGACGGTTACCAAGAGAGGTTAGGTCGTGTCTTCCTACACTGCCGAAACGCCTTTAATATCACGTTGGCATTAGTATATTTAATATATCTTGGTATTAATATAGTTAATACCAAGAGGCCGTTGGAACACTGTTGTTTGTATACGGACCCTTGGGAGCACTGTCCTTTGTATGGAGACCCTTTGAGGGCTGTGTTGTTTGCATTCAGAACCTTGGAACACCGTGTTGTTTGTATGCAGTACTTGGACTGGACGGTAGAGCGAGGGTCTCGCTTCGTACAGGTCGGTGTTCCATCCCCCGACCGTCCAAGTGGTTGGACACCATTCCTTCCATCCCCCCCCCCCCGTCCCATCCCAAATCCTTATCCTGACCCCTTCTCAGTGCTATATAGTCGTAATGGCTTGGCACTTTCCCCTGATAGTTCCCTTCCTCTCCCTTGTATGGAGTATCTTGGAGCAAGTTTTGTTATAATTCCTGTGATCGGAGGCAGGAAGAATGCACTCAAGAGATATTTAAGTTCCCCTAAGCCAACTAGGGCGGGACAGAAATGGTTGAGCACGTGTCCTACCACCTAATGCCACCGTTCACCTAGCAGGAAATGGTCCCCGGGAATTAGTCAGCTGTTGAGGAGGGTTCCATTCTGGGAAGGGGTCAGTAGTTCGACATTGGGGGATGACCTCAGTACCAGGCTAACGTGTCCCGACAAAACGAATTATTGAAACTACTGACCTTTCCCCAGGATGCAACTCTCAACGACTGTTAAACTCCCGAGTACCTATTTTAGTGTCAGGTGTTAGGTAACTGGGTCAGGTGTTTCTATCCTGCCAGAGGACTGAGCCCAGGTGTGCTGGCCTGAGCGGTCTGAGCTGGCCTCGGACCACAGTGCTACAGTACCCTGGGAGCCAGACCTCACATCCTCCAACACCAACTGAGAGAGAAGCTTTCTGCTGCCCTGAAACCTCTGCAACCTCTTCCCGTATGTAGTTCCTTCCCTGTGAAGCCATACTACACGTAGTTCTCAGGAACAACTTCTACCCTGTAAGTAGCACGTCCCCCAAGTCACTCTGCTACCTAGAGGCTTTTGGAATGACATTTTAACTAAGTAGCACCTATGATACCTGCAGCCCCCCGGGAATGACCTGTAAGTGGCACTTACCTTGAGACAGCGTGTTACGTAGTCCACGGAAGCAACGTCCTCTCGTAAGTAGCAACGTCACTAAGATTTTTTTACAATTGATTTTATTGGCATTGTTATTATTATCGATACACACAGTACTGCTATAGTTATTAATGTTTATTATTATTACAAGTACGTAATGTTACTTGTGTTTGGAGAAAGTGCAAGTGGTTCAAGGGCAACAACTAGTCACTCCCTGATGCTCAGCTCCCTCTTAATATTAGTCTCCAGTACACACTCCTGAAATAAAAGTACTGACAGTAACTGGTGGAGAGCACCAATATGTAGTGATGGACCGCCACAAAGTATACTTTTGTATTATTGAATTTGGACAACCCTAATTTTGTATTATTATTATTATCAGCAGCATATAGAACCTGACCTCTGCTAGCAATCCTAGGCCCAGTACACGCTATCAGTGGCCTAATACAGTACATGTATGTGCTAGTCTAAGTCTAGGAATGTTTAAGTTTGCACTCTATGAAGTCAATAGTATAAACAGTGGTTTACAGCTGACCATCACTACATACAGTATTGGTACTTTGCACCAAATACTTTATTATAAGTACAATCATTCCAGGAGGATGGGTTGTAATATTGGCACTGTATTAGCAGGATGACTGACGGGCCATTCTCAACGACTTGTCGCATACATGGTGCGACAAACATCCTCGAGGATTCGTCGTACACCTTGGAGAACTCTGACAAGAGCCCCACCTTGCGACCGGGGTTCCAGCACACCCTGCCACACTGCTCCCCCGAGGTACACCGGACCTGCTGGTGTGTCAACTTTATTGCTGAACACACCAGACTGAAGGAGGACTCCACCAAGGTCAGCCTTCCATCTAGTTTACCTGACCTTCCCAGAAACCATATATGTGTACTTACAGATCCACCTCCCCCCACCCCTCCCACTACACACACTTAAGTAATTACACTTACATACTGCGTCTCACACTACTACCACCACCCACTTTTACATTTCCAGTCACAAAGCCACCAACTCTCATCTACAGTACACCAATTTTCACCCTAAACATGTACACTATATTAAGTGAGGGATTCTAAAGAACATAATGTTCTTTTTCCAAGAACATAACCTTATTTTTCCCCTATGCGAATCAGCTTATATCGGACATTTTTCATATAACATTTTTCATTTTTTTCATATAACAACATAACTACACTGTTATATACTGGGTAAGTCGACTATATTACACAAAACAGATGCACTTGGGCTATGCTCTCAAATAACTAAAAAATTATTTCATAAGTGAATTATGAGTCTTAGTTGTTGATTATGTAGGTGGTATTGCATTCAAATTAGTGTTGAGGATTTAAAAAAAATCACTGAAATTAAAAAAAATACTGTACAATAATATAAATACAATCGGGCTATACTGGTCAATTTTAATTGTTGACATACTTTTGGCTCAAATTTATATACAGGTATTAAAGATTCAAGTAAATAAAAGGGGGCATTCTCAAACTAGTGAATGCTAACTCAAGGAGGCCCCCCCACCTTCCCCCCTGCCCCCCAAAAAAAATTTGTACAGGAAAACCATAAGATATCCCTAGAGGTCATACTGTAATAGGACAATTACAACTAAAAAAATTAATGACACCTTTTGAATATTGCAGGTGAAGGAGGACTGGAAGTATGTAGCAATGGTGCTGGACCGTCTTTTTCTCTGGATCTTTACTCTGGCAGTGCTGGTGGGCACAGCTGGTATCATCCTGCAGGCTCCCTCCCTTTATGATGATCGCGTACCTCTTGACAAAAAACTGTCTGAAGTCTATCGTGCACACCGCTTTAATGTCTAATGTCTTGACTGGGTATGAGCACCCTCCCATTCCCCTCCAACCCCAGCACTCTCTTGCTTCCGAAGACAGGTGCCTAAGAGGATTCTGTTGGGCATAATTCGTTGGCCTCATGTCTGCACAGCACGACAATGGCGTTAAATCTAGTGCATAGAGGTCCCTGCGTCGTATCCACTTGCCAAAGAATTCTCCATGATGCAGTGTTTGACCTGAAGCTCAGGTTGTCTCCCAGGATGGTTCCACATGTTTGTGTCAGGAGTGGCTCTTGTGCCAGATGATGATACAAGACTGATAATAGACATGTTTGTTACTGGAAAAAGTCATTTGGTGATACTGGGAGTTGGGTAAACCTTAGGAAAATCACAAGTAGGGCTGTAGGTGAGCCAAGTTTTCTATAAGACATAACAATTTTGATATGTGAACTGAAGATAAACAGTGTCTGTAATAATACATATGCTGTGCAAAATATATACAATGTATATGTACAATCACACTCATACAGATACACACATGCACACTTCTCATGTGTGCATACATAATGTATACCCAAATACACAATAGTATTCCTAATATTTTTTAGTACACAGCTATAACTCAAAATTTCACACAAAAATGCAAAGTATTAAACAATCACTTCTCAATTGATCCCTCAAGTAGATTAATACACTTTTAGCTCACTTATGTCAGAAACTGTTAATTGATGAGCTAAGTGCATTTTTATGTTACCATCACACATTGAAATCAAACATTCATATTTAGATCAAACTTGTCAATAATTTTGGTATTGTAGTGCCTAGTGGTAATGCTGCCATGCTCATGTGGTGTCTGGTGGTAATGCCGCCATGCTCATGTGGTGTCTGGTGGTAATGCTGCCATGCTCATGTGGTGCCTAGTGGTAATGCTGCCATGCTCATGTGGTGTCTGGTGGTAATGCTGCCATGCTCATGTGGTGCCTAGTGGTAATGCTGCCATGCTCATGTGGTGTCTGGTGGTAATGCTGCCATGCTCATGTGGTGCCTAGTGGTAATGCTGCCATGCTCATGTGGTGTCTGGTGGTAATGCTGCCATGCTCATGTGGTGCCTAGTGGTAATGCTGCCATGCTCATGTGATGCCTAGTGGTAATGCTGCCATGCTCATGTGGTGTCTGGTGGTAATGCTGCCATGCCCATGTGGTGCCTAGTGGTAATGCTGCCATGCTCATGTGGTGTCTGGTGGTAATGCTGCCATGCTCATGTGATGCCTGGTGGTAATGCTGCCATGCTCATGTAGTGCCTAGTGGTAATGCTGCCATGCTCATGTGGTGCCTAGTGGTAATGCTGCCATGCTCATGTGATGCCTGGTGGTAATGCTGCCATGCTCATGTGGTGTCTGGTGGTAATGCTGCCATGCTCATGTGGTGTCTGGTGGTAATGCTGCCATGCTCATGTGATGCCTGGTGGTAATGCTGCCATGCTCATGTGGTGTCTGGTGGTAATGCTGCCATCTCATGTGGTGTCTGGTGGTAATGCTGCCATCTCATGTGGTGTCTGGTGGCAATGCTGCCATCTCATGTGGTGTCTGGTGGCAATGCTGCCATTGTTACTCATGTGGTGGTAATGCTGCTATAGTTACTCATGTAGTGGTAATGCTGCCATAGTTATTCATGTGATGGTAATGCTGCCATTGTTACTCATATGGTGGTAATGCTGCCATTGTTACTCATGTGGTGGTAATGCTGCCAGCATGCTGGACAAACCAACAAGTGCACCAGGGCAGGTAAGTGCACTCTCAGTGTGTTAATTACTCGAGTGGCTCTCAAATACGGCACCAAATTGGAATCATTATTGACCTGAAACATAAGAAGTTTCCTCTGCAACCAAATGCGGATACTCCTAAGTGTTGAAAAATCAGTTCTATAACTTCAAAGTGTAGGATACAATAATGTACTTTTAAATATTTTGTATTTTAGAATAGAACAAATAATCTCGTCTAATAAGTGAAATTAAGTGACTGAATTTTTTTGTGAGAAAGCTTCTTCAAAGAACTTTGTGTGATCTAGATTGAGTGAAATATTAGTCAAGCAATTTATGTTTATACTGTAGTGCAAAGCAAATGTGCTTTGTAAAAGAATTCTTTGATATGCATTTAATAAATGGCCAAGTTGAAAATCTACAAATGCCAAGAGTTAACTTATCCCATCCAGCAAGCAAATTCACCAAGCTTGCTCCAGTGCATATGTGGTCAGTAAGAGTAGCATCCAGTACTTGTGATGTTATCTCGCAGACCTTGTCAATGATACACATTCACCCACTTACTCATTCATGATTCTTAAACACACAGTATTGTTGACTGCATCAGATGTCCCTCAGTGGTTGAACGACATCTTGGATGAGGCACAGCGTGTTAACACTGGGTCAAGTGTTCTTCGATGGCTCAACTACATCCTGGGTGTTATACAGCAGATGTACACCAGGTGAAATATAGTAGGGGTTCACTGGGTCAAGTGTTCTTCGATGGCTGAACTACATCCTGGGTGCCGTACAGCAGATGTATTCTTTGTCAAATGTCCTTTAATGGTTGAGGCACATCCTGGGGGAGGAACATATGTACACCCGAGATGAATAATCTGGACGGGGAACTGTTGCCCCGTCGTGTTATCACACAATGCTACAAATGTTGCAGTATTCAATATTGCAAATTTCAAACTGTGAATTAACATACAATTTATTGTTACTGATGATAGATTGATTGATATTTGTGAAGTCAATGGCATTGTTATTATATAAATTTGATTATGTTCTCGGTCTCAATTCAGATTTGTTAAGTATTTTATGCTGAGGAAAAACTTCAGTGCGAGTGACTTTTGAACAGCAATCATTGGCCAGTCACTAACAATTATTTACCAATGATAATTGTATAATTAGGAGTTTATTTTTTATTGCAAAACTTTTTAATAATCCTTGCCTTTGTCTTCTTGTACAGAATATAGACCATCTTGTTGATGCTGAATGTTTAGTATGCTGAGGGTTAGCAGATCTTAGCCTTATGCATTGTTGTAATACGGCTCAGTTTTTCTACTCCCAAAACTTGCAAGATGAGCTCAACCTAGTGCTACTTAAGGCTCGGTGAGTAGCTAATCCTGGTGTACATGGTGGAGATTATCTTACTGTACCACTACTCAATATATATATTCTACACACTAGACAAATTTTACAGACTTTTTAAAATGGTAAATTATAAAATGTATAATGTAAATACGTTACATTTATGATGAAATAAAATTTTGGATACAAAGATTTCCTCCACTATGAATAAGAGAACTAGTAATTATAGTCGGACCAAGTCTTTGGTCCTCACGGCAGAGAAGCGGGTACATGATCATACGATACATTTTTGACTTTGAACTCCAACTTGGATAATAATTTTGTATTATCACCTGCAAAAGGATGATCTCATTCCCTTGTTGTCCAGTTAGTCAATATATACATAATATCTGACAGTGCATAATGGAACCATCTGTGAAATATTCCTAGGCAGTTCATTATTACACAAATTGTTCAATCTCATGTTACCTTGTCCATACTCTGTTAATCAAAATGTTATGTTGGATATTATGGAGTTTTGGTGTTTGTGTAAATTACATGGTCAACACATTTCTGATCCATAAGGATCCATAAGAAAATATAAAATGTTAGATATTTCATCTTGAAACTTTAAATAGTGGCTCAACAATGCCTTGACAATTAAAATACATCATTTCTTTAACACCAAGTGCAAAGTGTAAAGATGTCATATAACTAGGTTAATACTGATGTCAACACCTTTGTTGAGACAAGGTCTCGTCAGAGATGAGGCAGTTGTCACCTACACAGCTGGTCATTGGATCATATATAGATGCTCAACATAGCTGGCCCAGCTCATATGAACCACATCACTTCACCCTTGTAACATATGGCATAAAGATGTACAGTAGTAATGTTTCTGTTTTCTTGATAAGTACAGTGTTCTCATTTATTACTTACCACAAATTTCAAGGGCTCATTATCAAATTATAGTTTTGGATTACAATTGTATTCTATCTTCTCTATTAAGAGGATCAACTCTCAACCTATTTAGGTGACCTTTGTATTATATTGCCTTCCATTAACGAACTGTAAAATTACCTTATAACAAAATTATTATTATTATTGCTTCTTATAATGGACTGCAATGGATAAGTACAGTATTAATTTTATAAACCTTAAAGTTTTAATAGCAATATCAGTTACAGTATCAGAAGTTTAGACATGTACCAACACAATGTTGTGTGCAAAATTGTTAGGCACTAATGTTTAGGTGCCTGATAGTCAGATTCAGGAAATCCTTCTTGATAAATACAAAATATTTTTTGCTTGGAGAGGACCTACAGGGAGATACAGAATTTGAACATTAAATTTTCTTGATTGTCACAGCTTGGTAATGCAAATGTTAAACATTTTTCAAATTACTGTAATTAATTTTTGCTCAAATATCCATGCATAATGTAAATTACATAGTAGAATATTTTATTAAATTCAGTTACTTTCTCTGTCCAGAAAATTAACAAATTATCTTAGCTTAACTTATATTTTTTCTAATAATTTCTAAGTTATGACAATCTAGGGAATTCAGTGCAGGTGTCTACATCACCGAGGCTCCTCGTAGCAAGAGTACGAGCCTCTGGAAGTGTCTACATCACTGAGGCTCCTCGTAGCAAGAGTACGAGCCTCTGGAAGTGTCTACATCACTGAGGCTCCTCGTAGCAAGAGTACGAGCCTCTGGAAGTGTCTACATCACCGAGGCTCCTCGTAGCAAGAGTACGAGCCTCTGGAAGTGTCTACATCACTGAGGCTCCTCGTAGCAAGAGTACGAGCCTCTGGAAGTGTCTACATCACCGAGGCTCCTCGTAGCAAGAGTACGAGCCTCTGGAAGTGTCTACATCACCGAGGCTCCTCGTAGCAAGAGTACAAGCCTCTGGAAGTGTCTACATCACCAAGGCTCCTCGTAGCAAGAGTACGAGCCTCTGGAAGTAGCTTAAGGAGTATTTCTTTGATACTGTTTGTGGCTGCTAGTAATCTACCATTTCTCTGGTACACTTGGTAATAAGTTAAACAAAAATTATCTAATAAAATTACCTAAATTCTAGTTACATGGCAGAACAGATCTTGATAAATACAAGAGGTTATGTTAGACAGAAGTTGTGTGAGATATGGAGTTAAGAGATCTTATCACTGACATACAATACCTCATGAAGGTGCTTGGCTTGGAGTATGTTTATCAGTTAAGATACTAGAGTATCATCAGACCTCTACCAGCATTAAACATTGAGATTTACCTATATGTCTGCCATAAGCATCATTTAATGGATACTCTTCTAAAATGGCCCTTCTTGTCCAAGCCTGTCTAAAATAACTGTCATCAATAGGTAAGTTTCTGATAAATGTCAAGTGCTGATGGTACTGGGTTGACCTTCACTCTATCATTTACTTATGCTGCCCTGTGCCATCATATATAATAGTAGTAAGATATGTCAATGTATGTATCTGTATCAACAGTAATCAACCAACAGTACAGAAATTTGTAAAGCTCAAATGGAATCTTCCTGGAACATATCAACTGTATCTTACATACTGCACTAAAATCATCAATTATTGTAATTTTAGCTGTTAGGAAGTTAAGATATTGATTAGGTTTTACAATAAGAAAGATGTTAAAACTTTATATTTATGAAAAAATTCTGTCAGGCTAGAATATAAAAATCAAGGGATGATTGGTATATTAATTGAAAGAATGTGTCTGGTACCATAACTGTCACTGGTGTCTTATAAACACAATACAGCATTCATCAAATCTGTTGGATTAACAATCTTGACCAGACTTCTTGTCATAATGAAACAATCCAAAGGAGATAAGAGTTCAGTTGCCTAACAAAACCACAGGAGTTATTGCTGGAAAATGAAACATTAGTTTGTCTCATATCTTTTGGTCAGAAAGGGCACTTCACAAGCATCACTCAGTTGCCCTTTGGGCCATTAGAGCAAAGCACACAACTCCCCACCATGTTAAAGTAATGATTTTAGAGAAATTAAGGTAAGTCATTATAAACCTGTCTGACATATTGCTCAACATACAGTATATTTATCCAGTGTGTAAGACTGTGGGTGAGATGTTCCAGGAGAATTCCACATATGGTTGCCCCTAAAGTCACACAGAATGTGGCTTCAGACACACAG